GTGAATCGTTATAGGCTGACCCATAACCGGCGGTTCGTGCCCCTGGAAAACAAAACTCTTGTTCGGAGGCAGACGATAGAAAGGGAGACATTATGAGCGAGAAGAACCACCGGCTTTCTGTTCCCGGCGACGCCAGATGGGCGGTCGGCTAGGAAGCCGAGCTGGAAGAGACCCGGTTCACGAGTTTCACCTTCTGGAAGGGACGTTGCCCTGAACCGACCGGCGGTTCCAGGAAGCCGTCGCCAGCCGAGTGCTCTCAGACCCCGTGCAGACGGACTCTAGTTTGCCTGAACCCGGTGAACCCCGTCTCCGGATAGCACCATCGTGCAGACGAACGCACTGTAACCGCACACTGTATCCGCACTCGAATCGGGGGTCCAAAGTGAGTAAACTCGAAATCCGATTGCTGTTGGTGTTCGTCTGCACGCTATCCGCATACCTAATCGGATTGGCCCACGTGATTGCATCCAATCCAACCCAGTCGTTGTCTTCTTCTTCTTCTTCTTCTGTGGAGTTTTCGTTTGTATACGCCGCGCATGTCTTATACGCGTGCTCCTGTCTTCTTCTTCAGTTGTCTGTAGCACCTTAAAGCGCCACCAACAGGCGTGGGGGATGTACTACAGCGGATTCAATCGGATTCACTGGGTTCATGTGCACGTGATTTAAAAAGTGGGTAGGTATGAAAAATGAACCCGGGTTCAGGCAAACTAGAGTCCGTCTGCACGGGGTCTCATTTCACCTTGCATTAGAGGCTGGACACTAGGACGAGGCGTTAAGGGAGGAAAAAAAAAAAGATACCAGAAGACATCGAGAGACAATATCTCCCCCTCACTCCTCCTCTGGTCAATGGGGGAGGTGAGGGAGAACAGGTTCTTCGGCTACGCTCTAAGGGGATAACGCATATCACAGGCTTCACGTCAGAACAATTAGCGTCCGCTTCTCAATGCGGGCCACCGGCCTTCTCCTCTTCCTCCGCCTCCTCCCCTCCTCTCCTCCTCCTCCTCTCCTCCTCCTCCTCCTTTTCTCCTCCTCCTCCTCCTCCTCCTCTCGCTCCGTGCTTGCGCTGCTGACCCTGCAACTTTTTTTTTCTTCTTTCTTGCTATTTTCCCTCATTATCTTCCCCGCCCCCCGACCACCCCCCGCGCCCCGATTCGTCTTCCTGGACGGCGGCCTGCCAATACCGCCGGTCGCTCCGCCAATCGGTCGTGGGCGTCAGATTTGACATCACGGAGGGCCCGGATCGATCAGGACCATCAAGGGTCCATCCGCCTAAGAGTACATTGTCGTTTCAAGGAACAATTGCCCCCCCTCTGTCAGCTAACAGGGAGAGAGTTCAACAGGCTTTTGGGGTAAAAGGGGGGGGGGGGGGGGGGGGGGGGGCTTCTGACGAATAAGGCGGCGTGAAGCCCAGTCGGGGGGACGTTATACATGGGGCTGTAAATGGGTTATTCTGGAGGTGCAAATTATGTTTTTCAGTCTGGGTCAGTTCCGTTGGGGGGGGGGCCGTGGTTTGGTAACAACCAATTGTTCGAATGCATCGTCAGTCTCGGCGTCATTCGCGGCGTTTTTTGTGTTAAAAATGCCATTTGATTCCGTCCGACTCTCCTTCTTTTGAGCAGGGAGATGTCACAGGCGCATCTCGCGGCGAGCAGCGGCCGGGTAACAAGGTACGGAGGGAGAAGTGGGTCACAGGCGGAGGGGCCGCCGGGTTGCCATAGCTGGAGCGCTGCAGCACCACAGTCATGTGGTGTTTGGGCCGGAGAGCCGTTGCTGTGGCCTCCTCGGCACTCTTGTCACTGGGTTTGGATGGATCGGGTGGGGGAGGGGGTGGTGTTGTCATGCCAGTGCGTTTACGATGAGGAATGTTTGCCACGTTGTTCCCATCGCCCTCGTCTGATTGTCGAGACGTTTTTGTTTAATTATTAAATGGAACGATGTATAATCATAAACCAAAAGGAAAAGTGAGGTTAAATTCACACACCAGCTGCCAATATCAAATGCAAAAATGTATTTTTTAACCAGTTTCCTTTTTTACAAATAAAATATAGGATAAATAGTTTTCTCAATTCCAGAAGTAACTAATGGGCCCTAATTACAAGACCTAAAAAGAATCGAAAGAGCCTCGAGGGGCAAAGTGAGCGTAATCATTTTATAAAATTAGCTGCCTTTATCCCCGTTCCACCCGGCAACCTTAATAAAATGGAACAGATTCATTCACGTTTACCGCTGAATGGAAACAGAGGAACGTGCCAGCAGGAGCGTCTCTCGGAACCAAGCATTTCAAGTAGAAACCGCCGATGGTTCATCTGTGATCGCTAATTACCCCACCTCAATCAAAACGCCTGTTAGATAACATCGCACAAACACAAGGGCAACGGTGCCCGATTGTGACAGCCCCCCCCCCTGTGGAAAGGTATAATTCCCCCGTGTAGCTGTGGCTTTCAAAGATCCTTTTCATAGACGGCTGCTCGGAGGCCAGTGCCCGTGATGAATGGGTTTCTGCTCGGCTCCGTGTGGGTGGCTCCGACAGAAGGCACAGTGTGTGTGTGTGTGTGTGTATGCATATGTGCGTGCGTGTCTGCCACCCTCTCAAAGAGATAAAGGTCTGCGAACCAGATGACGCCACAGCGGGCCATCGAGGCGTCGGTGGACCCCTTTGGGGCGCGAGGGGCCGCGTGCACCGTTCTTCTGTCTTTTTTTGGGGGAGTTGTTTGTTTTTAAATGCAACGCAGTGCTGCCCTCAAACGGAGCTTACCTCGTCGTATGTGCTCTGCAGCCCGGGCCCCTCCGGCGCCGTGCGCTCCTCAGAGCACCGAACGGCTCTTCCATTTTTTCCCGCTTAGCCGGAGAGGGCACGTGGGTGAGGGCTTTTTTTAACGCCACCGATGAATTAGCACCCCTCCGGATTGAATGATTGCGCCGCGGTACGTGCGTGGGCGTGCAGGGTTTTTTTTTTTCATTCTTTATCTGCATTGTTCCTCGACGACAGCTGCCGAGGCTCCTCGCACCACCTCACCTTGCATCTCCAGCAGAAATCCTCCCCCATTTGGGTCCGACTTAAGGTTCTAACACTGCCCCTCCCTAAAGGATGCCAGTCATTTAGATGTCCTTTAACCATATTTATAGCAAATGTCCTCTAACCTCTAACCTCAGTAGATGTGAGAACCTGGTTCTGGTCTTGAACGCTCATTTACATAACATGTCAGACACTATCTATTATAACCAGATGTCCGGCAGCGGATTTCGCATTTTAATGTGGATGAAGATCGTTATCCGTCTGCCTTGTAATGAATGTGTAATGTGTCTTTGAGGTAAGTCAATTAAACGCAAATAGTTACCGTAGTTAAGCCTTTTTTTCAATTTTCTTTTTTAAATAGTGGAAAATACAATTACCGTAAAAGAGCCGGGCATTTATTTGCTCCTTCCACCTCCGAACTAGACAAAAGAAAATGGATGCAAAGACCCGGCCCGATGCTGAGGCCCATCGTGCAACAGTCAGAGGAAACAAGACGGCTTTCTAACCAAAGGGTTTTTACAGCTTACATGGGCAATAATGAGGAGCAACGGCGAGACGCGCGTGGAGGCGGAGCCGGGGGGATCGGGCTCCACTCCGAGTCCACGTGGACGACGGGGGGGGGGCGGTGAGGCCCGAGTCTGCGATCGCCGCGGGGTCGCGCACCAGCTCCTTCTCTTACTCTCACACAGACACACATACACAGTCACACCCGCCCACACAGTTCCCCCCCGCGCACACACACACACACACACACCTTGACACCTGCCTACGCGTTCTCTCCCATAGATTCAGGTACACAAAACACACACACACATTTTGCTAGTCTTCGTGCCGATGCACACGGCTCCAATTAGTTTTAACACCAGGTTTTTTGGAACGTTGCTCCTCTGCTTAGAACTCGCGCGTGTGTGTGCGCGGTGTGCCTATTTGCCTGTGTGTGTGTTTGTGTCGCCTGTTGCGACCCAGCATGCATCTGTGTGGGCGGGTGTGATTGCGTGCGTGTGAGGGTGGGAGGGTATCAGCGGAGGCCGTCTCACACGGGACTCTCATGGTTACAGAGCTGCTGCTGCTGTGAAGCTGCTTTCTGACACGCACACACACACATGCGGCGTATGCGTATCCCAAGCAAAAGGCCGTAACCTGTGTTTATTAATGTGGCATAAAGAAATGGCGTCTGCAGACATCCTTTATATCTTTTGTGGTGGCTTCAGATCAGCTGGTAGAAAAGGTAATTGTGAAAATGGCAGCGGTGTGTTTGAAGCTCTGTGAGGTTTCTTTAATATCGGTCAGGAAGAAAAGGATGGCCAGCTTTAATATTTCTTTTTTGCTTCTGATGAGACTTGAAGATTATTTGTTATTTAGACTGGGAGCGGGGTTTGATTAAAAGTTCCTCTCCCACCTGGTGTGGGGATAGAAAGCCGACTCCAGAGGGGGGGGGGATGCTACTTCAAATGGCAACACTCTCTCTCCCTCTCAAGCCTTTGAGGGAACAGTGAGGATCCATATTATACTTTTATTCATTTGCATACAAACCCAAGGGATGTGTTCCAGATATGTGCTTTCCTCGGAGTAGTCTGGGGATTTTGTGTGATTTTATAGATTCTTCTCGAAAGCACAGGCTCGGCTGACTATACTGATAATATACATACTTTTTTTAGCTTTCAAATCGCATCCATTGAGGGTAAATATTACGGAATCAAAGCGTAAAACGGATGTGATGACAAAGGACCAGGCGGATGCTTTGAGGACTTAATACAGGGGCAGCAAGTCAACATTACTCTTACGTTGTTCTATAGGACAAAGTCATGCATTAAGTGACACTTACAAGCACAATTAAAAGGGAAAATCATCATTTTAATGTTTAATCAGTGACACTGATTTAGCCCCGCCTCCCCCTGCGTGTCACGCCGGCCACGTCGCTCTCAAGTATTTTTTTCCCCCCCGCCCGTTAATGACCCTGTTTGTTCCTCCCTCTGTCCCTCAGGGCCGCTGCACGCGAGAGAACTGCAAGTACCTGCACCCGCCCGCTCACCTGAAGACCCAGCTTGAGATCAACGGGCGGAACAACCTGATCCAGCAGAAGACGGCGGCCGCCATGTTGGCCCAACAGATGCAGTTCGTGATCCCCGGCACCGCCATGCAACCCGTGGTCAGTGCCGCCACAACTCCCTTAAAACTACGCTGTTCTGTTTGTATTTCTTATTTTCGGTCCACATCCGGGGCTCTCGGTAACTCAACGGCCTCTCCGGCAGCTGCTCTGCAGTCGGCGGCCATTTTTTTTTGTGTATCTATTGCGCTGGGCGGCTGCCAGGTGTGAACGTGTTTAACTGCGTCCATGCAACTCCGGGCACAGCTGCAAAAAAACACGCTGGCTCAGCGAAAGCGTCCCAGAATACATAGAGGTTAAAAAAAGAACAAGAAAAAAGACCCGGCATTCCTCTTGTTTCTGCCCTGGCTCCCGTCAACCTGTCCACTATTTTTTCTTTCTTTCTCTGAAGCCTATTCCGCCCGGATAAGTGCAGCTGAACGGCCTGTGTCTGCCTTCTTCTCCCCCCCCCGCCCCCCTCCCCTCCCTCTCTCACAGCAGACGTTTCCCGTCAGCCAGGCCCTCGGCTCCAGCGGAGGTCTGAGCTACACGTCGTACCTGACCCCAATGTCCCACAGCATGGGCCTGATGCCCTCAGACCTCATGCCCAGCGCCCCCTGCATCGTCCCCGGCAGCCCGCCCGTCTCCGTGACTGGCGGCTCCTCCTCCAACCAGAAGCTGCTGCGCACCGACAAGCTGGAGGTGACGACCCCTCTATCAACCCCCCAATCACGCCAATCATAAACATTGTTGTCTCCGAGGTCGGGAATCTCTAATTATGGTAACGCCCTGCCGGGATTATAGGCGTGCAGTAGATACGTGATGCTGAGGAGGAGCATTTCAAAGGTATTATGGTCCTCAAACAAGCTCTTCCATCTGTGCTGCGGAAAGCGGCAAGAAAAACACTATGAAATACTACTACTATAAATACTACCTCTCCGGTTGTTACAGGAGTTGACATGGCAACAAATAACACATCTCCAACCTTTAGAAAGGACTATTGAAGTGCAGCTTCTTGTTGTGTAAATTCCAAGAACCAGGACAAAGACACCAAATGTTTTATTTATATGAAATTAAGTAATTCGTGGCTTCAATAAAATTCAGGGGAAATCCGGCTTGTTAAAAGTCGCTGCCACCACTCTATTAAAATAACATCATCATCATCAGTATCAGAGACACGACACGGGAAAAGAGACAACACTTATCGCACCAACTGGTCCTTGCTAGACAGCCACAGTTAGACGCAAGTCAACTACCAGCACCCCAGCAGCCCCCCCCCCCCCCCCCCATCGTGTTGTTGATTTTTTCTTTTAATTTCTTTTCCCACTCCATTTTTAAAGATAAACAATATCCTCCCTGAGACCCGGAGGTGATGTGTGTGCGCCTGTGTGTGTTTTTCTGCTGGAGAGCTATCACTTAGCAACTAAATGAAGTGGGCTATAATGAAACAGCGTCCCTGGGAGACACGCACGCACGCCCCCGCGAAAGATAGTGCCGCGCAGGCGCGTATGGTTTTGCGTGTACACCTGTGTGCTGTTGCACGTGGAGCCCCGTGTGATCACGAGAAGCCATCTGAGCGGCTGAAACACCGACTGGTTCGGTGACTCAATAATTATTATTATTAATAATAAAATATCGATATGTTCGCTAAACGGTAAAAGGTTGCAGCGCAGCAGGTGGAAGTAAAACCTTCTAAAAGATTCTAGAGGAAAAATAAGTCCCTTTTTGAAAATTGTCCGAACAGTCAATTTGTTCATTTCTCTGCCCGTTCTGAAAGCTGACGGTTTGCGTGTCTCTATGTGTTTCTCTGTCTTCTCCTCTTGAATGCTCACAATCTGTGTCTGTCCCTCTCTCCCTCACCAACCCACATCTGCGCATCCGCCTTTGTCTTTTGTCCCCCCCCCCGACTCTCCGGCTCGCAGGTGTGCCGTGAGTTCCAGCGGGGCAACTGCGCCCGCGGGGAGACCGACTGCCGCTTTGCCCACCCGAGCGACAGCCCCATGATCGACACCAGCGACAACACCGTCACCGTCTGCATGGACTACATCAAGAGCCGCTGCTCCCGCGAGAAGTGCAAGTACTTCCACCCGCCGGCCCACCTGCAGGCCAAGATTAAGGCCGCCCAACACCAGGCCAACCAGACAGCCGTGGCGGCGCAAGCCGCCGCTACGGCTGCAGCCATGGTGAGATCACGGCACCACAGCTCACTTACTGCAGCCGACACAGTGGCAGAGCAGGGAACACACACGCCCACACACACAGGTGGCAACCAAGGTTCCTGGTTAGAATCAGTACTTATAGAGCATTTAGGGTCTGGATGGGACGTTAATGCTATTTTATATAGTTTACCTCGCTCTCACCATCAAGAGCTTAGCCTTGCATTGTAAAGACCACGGAGGCCTTGAAGTTACTATTTGAGGTTTTGTGGTTGTGGAAGAACAAGAACGCTGAAAAAATGAACAGTGCTGTTCATACTCTGAATAACACTCATATTAGACGAGGGATCTCGGGCCTCGCTGCTTTATACAAAGCACGGATCGTTCAGGAATACATCAGCAAAAACATCGGATGATATGAACAGAGCTCTTCTTTGCAACTTTTGGCCAGTTAACCACCAAATCCCCTTAGCTGCCGTGGCACGTGACACGGCCCCGCCCTCCGCCGGGCTCATTCTAGTGGACTCCGGCGAGCCGCCCGCAGACAATAGGCGCCCCGAAGTGCGGCCCGGCGTACACAATAAACAGGCTTTAGTTGGACCTAAATGCACCAGTGCAGCGCAGCAAGAACAATCCGTTATTATCTCGCCGCAGTCCGCTTTTGTTTTCCAATGCCCTTGGTTCACACAGAGACAATGTGCTGGATGCCCCTCCCCCTCCCACCCGCCAACTCTCAATGATAAGTGCGGCTCTCTGCTTATCAGTGTAAATTGAATCGGGGATGGATGAGGATGTGGGGGTTGGGGATTTACCCTCCTGAGCCTTGGTTGCGCAGGTGTAGCCCTGCACGGCCACCTTGTAATGCGCCAGTGTGCTGCTGACTGACCCCCCCCCCGCTCCCCTTTCCATGGCATGTGCATGCTGCTTCTTTTCGCTTTCTTTTTACACGCGTTGCTCACACTGCTCCCATTGGCTGGCTCCATCGCTGCTTGCTCCATCTTCGCTCCTCCTCCACGAGTCCACAGTGGGCCTGTCGAGCCCAAGTGAGTTGGCGCTTGTGCATTTTTGGCAGAGCGCTGCACCGACGCGGGGAAGGCGAGAAGGAATTTTAACATGCATGAATAAAAGAGAGCTCGCGGAGCTAGAGCCGGAGGATGACCCTGCAATCCTTTCGTAAAGACGCACCTTTGTGTGGCTTCGCTCAACGGCGTCCACGTCATTCTCCTCACAGGCAATGCTTCATACTCCTCCTGCCTTCCTCGTACACCCCAACTTCATCAATTTTATGACTCAATTCGCCATCAGCATTTACAAGCTGTGTAAGAGGTGGGCAGAGTTAACCTCAGGACAATGACTTGTTTAGTCAGCACCTTTTATCCAATTTTCTTTCAGCCCTTAGCCAAAGCTGAAGCTCTTTTATTGAAGCAGAGACCCATAAACCCTCTATTGCTGCACTGCTGCAAATAGGTAACGTCATTATCCATAATTCACTTTTTTTTCCAGATATATCTGAAGCAAATAAGCTTAAGTGTGCTGTAGATAAGGTTACACATGAACTGATGCGTTTACACTGAGAAGATCCCATTATTGACATTATGTTGTTGCCGCGCTGCTGATAGCAGTCATCCTTGCCTTTTGTATCACTCCGGAGGCCCATATGAATAATATATATATATATATATTTATATATATATTTTATTCATGTGTCGTCAGGAAATCCACATACAAGAGACCTGTGCTCATCACATCCATGTCATCTTTTGGTTCCTTTTTCCCACCTCTCAGCAGTTACATTAAAACAGACAAAAAAACAACCTCATAATAATAACGACAAACAGAAGCGATAAAAATACAACTTTTATTTTAAGACCAAGCAGAGCTCCACATTATGTGACCGTAGGGCAACTTGCAGCGTGTCCCCCCCCCCCCCCCCCGCCGAGTTCATCGATGTGGGTCGAGGGGGCGCCACTCATCTCGAGCACCGTGCGCGGGTCAGCGCCGCGGCGGGGAAGCATGGCGGTGGTTTTTCCACATCGTCTCGCCAGCACCCGTGTTTACCTGTAGTCCCGAATCCCACGGAGGAGCCCGTTGTGAGGGGGCAGGGTTCAGCCACGTCCGCATCCTGAACGTGTCCGCGAGTGTTTGTAGACGTTTGTCCCCTCCAGGAGCTCTGTAAGGTGTGTGTGTGTGTAGGAAGCTGTAGAGAGCCTGTGTTCACATCACACACAAAGTATCAGCCCGGTTGTGTTCACTGCATTGTCTACGTGGTAGATATCCATATATATATATACATATATACAAATATTCTTAAAATGTTGACTTGCTTTGTTCAGATATCTTTACTAAGTACATCAAAGAATTTTGCTTTTTTTTAACCAAAGGTTAATGTAGATGCTTTTTTGCTTTTGTACTAATTCCAAAAAGTAGCAATGTCTTCTTTTAAAGTAAACAAAACAGTTTTTTGTTTATGTGCATGCCTATTGTTTTGTATGTGGTATACTTGCATTCAGATTATTTTTGTTTTTGTTTTTTTCCTTCTCACCTATCCACAATGCAATGCTGTCCCCCATGACGCACCTCTGCTTGCTGTTACCTGTATGTTAATACGCTTGAACCCCATTGGCCCACTGCCATCATGTGCTCGCTGCCTGCTAATTAAAGACTCAGTCGACTGCCAAAGCAATGAAGCGACCCCTCGAGGCAACTGTAGACCTGGTACTTTCACCTTTCACCTTTTGCTTTGCATGTAGCTTCTGTAATTGTACTGTAGCCACTCACACAATTTAAGTTGGCTCTTTTTTGTTTGTCGTGAAACACCTGTAAGACACGTTAAAGTTATCATCTATGATCACCAGTGGCAATGCTAGATTGCACTGTACATTTTGTCGAACTACAACGTAATGTTAAAGAACCCTTTTCTTTCATGGATGTGTTGTTGGTGTAGTTTTCTTGTTGTTCTTGTGATAGTTCGTTTCCATTTTTGCTTTGTGCTGTGCATAGAGAGATAACAGATTTGTACAGTCATATCAGTGTTGACTTGTGCGAGCCCGCAGATCAAATCTACTGTGCTTCTGTTGTCTGTGCGTGCGTGTGTGTGTGTGTGTGTGCGCGTGTGTGTTTTGGGTGGATAGGCGTTCCCCCACGGCGTCCTCCAGCCCCTACCAAAGAGACAAGCGCTCGAGAAGAGCAACGGCTCCCTGTTCAACCACAGTGTTTTGCACTACCAGCAGGCGCTCGCCAACGCGCAGCTGCAGCAGCCCACTTTCTTTCCCACAGGTAAGAGCCCCCCCACCCCCACAAACCAACCTGCCCCCACCTCCGCGCTCTCCGATCGGGACCGCACGGCAAACTCGAGAAATCTCAGTTGCACCAGGCCTGTCAAAGCCACGGATGCACTCTCAGGAAGGGCTCTACATAGCATCTATATTGGGACTGTGTATTATTATTCTTTGGGTTCCTTTATTTTTTTCAGCACCGCAGAAAGGGAGGGCATTTCCCACGCTGAAGCGTGAGAGCCTACTCGCGATCAGTTCCGTCTGCGTGTAGTCAATCCGAGTAACCCACATGGTGGAGCACCGCTGTGATGGCGCGTGCTAATGTTTCACCGCCTCCCCCTCAAATGTGATCTAGTGCCCCCCCCCCCATGATGGAAGGCAGTCAGAGCTGAATCTCACAAAAGAGATGGACAAGCCTCGTTGTTAGCAACACAAAGGTCCTGTAACTGTTTTTAGACTCTTTAGGAGCTTTTTAAAGGGATCGATCACTTTAGTGCACCGTCTCAGCGTAGCATCGACCACGCAAACAAAAGGCTTTTTTAGTTCCATCTTTTAGAGCAATTTTGTTTGAATTTTTCCGAAAATCAATTTGCATCTACTCCCTCACTCACTCCTCTCCAGTTCTTTCGTCCCTCAAACAAAAAGCACTCTCTGTCAACTGGTCCCGCAGCAGACCAACAGCAGCTCCAGCCCCCCCGGGGTCACGCGCTAAACGAGTTAACCGCAGCTAATGCAGCCGCCTGCAGCCACAGTGAGTTACGAGGACGAGACTCCCGTCCCTCCGTCTGCTTTGTACCTGCCCTTTTTTTCTCTTCTTTATTTATTTTGTGTCCCCCTGATGTGAGATGCCTGACAGCCCCTCAACCCTCCCTCTGTATCGGCGTGTGGGAAGTAGCCCTCGGTTAAAGTCGCGTTAGCGAATCCTGTTTCTCCACAAGTCTCAGAAGGAGTGACGAACCTTCAGTGTTTCAGTGACGGACGCCAACTTTATTTATATAGTCCGTTGTCACGGATCTCCATGTAGACACATTGGAAATATGAACCGAATCATCGGGAGATGACTGATCTCAGACAGCAGCGTTTCCAGCGTCCCTTGTCACAGATGTGACATTGACGCATCAAAGTTTTGACCATCTTTTTGACCATCTGCAAACCCGTGATGTCACGGCTCCATACGCTACAGCATATGGATGTGCTTCTCGTGTAGCTGTCGCTTTATACGCGCAGTGTTTTGCCGTTCATGCCGCGGATGAACGAAGGAACTCCTCTGCTTTGCTCCCGCTGACTGCATTCACAATATCTGAAGCTGAGTGACGTCTTGCAGCCTTTTTTGTTTTTGCCTTGTCTAACCTTGTTGTTCTCCTACCTCCTATATTAACCCTTTTCTCTCTCTCTCTCCCTCTCTCTCTCTCTCTCTCTCTTTCCCTTCCCCTTCTCCCTCCCTCTCACTGTCTTTCTCTGCATGGACACAACAGGGTCAGTCTTGTGCATGAGTCCTGCTAGCAGTCTTGGTAGGTCCTGACCTTCCCTTTGCATCCAAACATACACACACACACACACACACACACACACACACACTCACACACTGTTTGATGTATAAGAGTGGGAGGTTGTGGGCGGAGTAAAGCCCTCACAGGTGAGACATAAGGTCACCGCGTCACCTCCTGTGGCGGGAATGAAACTTCCTTCTTTTTTTTTACATCAAAGAAATGTCTTCAAACTGTTTAATCCCGAGATATGATACGAAACCACATTTTTATTTCACCTGAAATAGTCCTTGTGTCCCCGCTGACCTACTCGCTAATGAATGTCTAGTTCATGATGAGGACTGGTCGATGAAATGCTGCGGACTGATCTCTTGTGAAGCTGTAGGATAGCCGCTGTCTGTTTGATGTGCTGTGTTGATCGGGAAATTTTAAATCAGTTTCCCAGAGAAGTTATTTCAGCCACGTCGGTGGAGCGCCTTGTCTCTGCTAGACGGGGACGGGGAATTACAGAGGAATGACTCAGAATAATGATTTTTAAACGTGCCGTTGATACAGACGGCAGCCGCTTGGGGTGTTTGGCTGCCCACATGGATAAAGATACATTAAAAAAACAAAAACATCCCCGTTGCCAAAAAGATGTCATTGATTCTTAGTAATTGGTGTCTTGCACCGTTTGACTTCTCTGGGAAAAACAGCAAACTGATTTTCCTTATAAATTTCCTTACTTGTGATTGTAATCAGCTTCTCCTTTTTTTTTTTCTTTTTTTTTTGTCGTTTTTTTTCCTCCCACGCTCTCTTTTTTCTTCCTTCCTTCCTTCCTTCCTTTCTTTCTGTCCTCCTTGCTTTGCATTGTGAACGGTTGCATGCCATCTGCCGGTGTAACCCTAACGATGGCTTGCTGGCTCTCTGTAACCTCCGCCACCAACCACCACCACCACCACCTCCAACAACAACAAACGCTGCCGTGGACATGCACACGTCACATCTGTTGCCATGGTTGCCATAACGCTCCACCTACCTGTCCATTGCTACCACCCCGTCCCCTTTTTGCTATTCCTCCCCCTCCCTTTCCCCTCTCCACTCACCTCCCCTTTCCCACCCTGAAAACAAAGTCCCAATGATGTACAGTGCTACGCCTGCTACTGTCTCTGCAGCAACAACTCCTGCCACAAGTGTCCCCTACGCAGCAACAGCACCAGCCAATCAGGTTTGCTCCTTTTTAAAGCTTTCTTTCATCAGTCCCTGGAGCTCTGAATAAGTACTGCCTTCTAATGGTTGACCGGCACCGAACCTGCAGCGGGTCCTCAACCCACGCCCAGCCCCCCCACCCCCCCTCACGCCGACCCCCCCACCCTCCCCCTCCATCAATCCATCCATCCGCCTGCGCTGGGCGAGCTCAAGCTGGCATGAGAGCCCGAGTGGGTGTTTTCTGGACATGTTAAAGCGAAGGGGGCCCCTGCGTAAGCGCGCGGCCCCATCAGGCACTTATTCAGAGCTCCCACGTTTGCAAAGTAGTAGTTGTGTTGTGTTGCACCACTTTCTGTTTTTTATTTTGTTTCTTTTTGTTGTTTCGCATGTCCTGTTTTAACTTTTGTTTTTCCCACTCCTGTTGTTGTCGCGTGAGAAGCCTCTCCATCCGCAGTGTACGGGAGCGCCCTACACGTACCGCTTTGCACAGTGCATTCAAGCAAACGCCGGCGAGCACTTCTGGCCGGTTTGTGACAGCTGCCATGTTTTCCTTTTTTCTTTTTGCGCCCCTCCCAGTCTCAATCACACCGACCCCAAGGAAGCAGCCCTAAAAATGGCCTCTGGTCGGCGGCTCTGGTGTTGCCGCGTGTCGGCAGCAGCCGGGGGAAGCAGGGGGCCGGCAGAGTGACGCACGCAGGCCCCATTTTGAACCTGGAGATTAATTCCAGTCATTGGCTGGAAGGCCGCTATTGACACGTGTCTTGAGGACACACGGATGAACAGATCACTCTCCACGTTGTTGTTATTGTTATTACCGACGTGGTACAGTGACCAGTGTCCCCATTTCCCTTCTCTGCGTCTCGCTGCTCGGGCTTTCTGCGTCGAACGTGTGAGAAAATATGTTTAAGTCAAGGTTCCCACGTTGTTATTGGAAAAAAGGAAAAACCGCAGAATCCAAAAATTAAGAAACCGAAGATGGGGCCCTATTACCCCGCGCTTTATTGCCCCTCGTAGGCCGGCAGTGCGTGCACTTCCTGTGAGTCACCGTCTCCTCCCGTAATTGGCATGCAGCAGCGGTAGGAAGCGGAGCTGCTGCTCTTTAAAGATGCATGTGGGACAAGGAGGCGAAGAAACACTGACGTCAGCCCCTCGCTATCTGTCTCCATCGGCACCCCCCCCCCCACACCCCCCAACCCCTCCCGCCCTGCATAAAGATCCTTCCAGCCAGGACACGGTTGACATTTAAGATCGCCAGCATTAGTGCGTTAAGTACGCGCCTCGTTCACCACAGTACGCCTCATGGATAGATTCCGATCTATTAGTTTTTTCTTAAGTAAAACCCCCCGCCCTGATTCTTCAAGACGGGACACTAATCATCATGTCCCTGTTGTGTCCGCGGCTACGTGAGGGACACGCCTGCATGGAGGGACAGGGGACGTTTGTTGCAGACGTCGACAGACGTTCAGCGTCCGGTCAATGTGCCAGACTGCTGACGTCTCGCTGGGGGGTGGAGTCGGAGGTGTGGGGGGGGGATTTGTAATGTGGCAGCGCCCTCGACTGTCTGAACGGGGCATTACATCACATACTTGGCTGTTAGGGACACGAGTTGTTATGATGACCAGAGGTTACTGTACTGAGCGGCTCTTCGGCTGGAGGACCAGGGTTCGCCCCCCCCCCCACGCCTTCCCGTGTCACGTCTGCTATCACATTCGTTGAAACTGACACACTAGGTCACTTTGAATACTCTAAATGTTCAAACCCCCTTTTTAATTGTCCATAAGTTGGACCTGCAAACATTTGTTGTTTGGTTTTAACCCACCTGCGGTGATGGCTGATACCCCCCCACCCCCCGTTGCCACCTGGCACCATGGGTTGTTTTTCCACGCTGCACTGTGGAGCAGCCCGCGCTCCCCACCTCTCCACCTGCGGTGACCTTCTGCGATGCGACCAGCGGCTCCTGTCCTTCGCCGCCGGCTGCCTATTGTACATTTAACAAGCGCCGCGCTGCTTTGTGATGTGTCGGCTTGTTGCCAGTGGCAACCACACGATGGCCCGCAAGCAGCTCTTCTACCTGTGTCTCATCCCCTCCCCCACAGACAACTCTAATATGCTTCTTTTTTTTCTCCCCCTCTTTCTTGTGTTGGATCAGTTTTATCTCCTAAAGAGAGAGTACGCACAGAGGTGACCAGACCTGAGTCAAATGCTATTTGCAGACCATCGGCAACTTTTTCCTCTCATCTGGCAGGTGGCGTGACCACAACTCATTCACTAAGACCCTATCAGAACTGTTCCAACACAAAGATGTGGCCTTGTTGATATCTCCCGTCATATTAAAGTGGCTTCTAGCGACACATTCCCAGTTTTTTTTTTCAATGGTTTGGACCAGGATGGCGCCCTAGAGAGGTGTTCAAATTTCGCCCACTTTCTAGGCAGCCGGGATTCGGCGTAAAGGTTGTTAGACGCTACGACAAGCACTTTCTTCTAAGCACATTGAGGCCTAAAGTCGGCAGAAATAGAAAAAGGCAAATAGAGTTTGACCCAGTTCACACCAAACACAATAAAATATGTCTTAATGATGATAATAAACCGTTTCTCTTTCCAGGTCGACTAAATGTGTCTCCCCGTTTGTTTCCCTCCTTCTTTTCCGGTCTCCATCTCTCTGTCTCTCTCCTCCAGATTATCCTGAAGTAAGTTTCAGGAAGGGAATGGAGTGTCACCAAGCCACACTCGGAAACCCCAAACCGCCCCAGTGTAAATACTACCTTACCTCTCACGTCGAGGTCCAGCAACCTGCATGCTAAGAGTGAAACACTTCAATTTAACCGTGAGCTACACTGCAGTGCCGGTGTAACACACACACACACATTAAAACAACATTAAAAAAAAAAAGTTATATACTGTACCTACTGCTAGAAAAAAAAAAGAACTATTAACGTGAAAAAGTTGAAAATATTCTAATGTATAGTACTACATACACAGCAGATACACTATAGAGGTCATTTTAACACCCGTTCTCCCAAAGTACCGTGGATCCCCTCTTTCATATTTATTCTCGAGAAAACGCTGCACAATGTTCATCCCCTTTCGGTTAGGGAGACGAACCGAGAGAGAGACGCTCGATGAGCACCGTATGAGACATTTAGTTAGCGGAAGAGTCGCAGAAAACCCGACCACAACTGCACCAGCGTCTCTCAAGAGTGGGTTTTATTTTATTTTTGTTTTTATTTTCTTTGCTTTCCTCTGCGGGAAGTTGAATGTCCTTTTGGGCGGACGGGCTCTTTTTTTCTTAATGGGACTGTCCTTGCGAGGGTGGTGACCCTCACCTGGCCCAGATGCTGTTAAGATGCCATGATGACACCCCCCCTTCCCCACCCAGCACCACCCTCTCCTTCTCCTCCTCCTCCTGCCAACTTTTCATCTCCAGAAGCATCTTGCCAAAGCAGAAGAAGGTCGATGGAAATCAACCTGCCAGCGAGCGGAGCCACATCTTAGCACCCTGATAAGTTCCTCTTTGTTTTTTTCCGTACTTACACGGACTTCTGCATGCGGTCGGGACCGAGGAGGACATCGCTGAAGAAAACAAAAACACACACATACAAAAGAAGAAAGGAAGAAAACCCCCTGACGGCTCGGGTCTGTGCCAAAAGGGCTTTAAACAAACACACCGAGCCCTCGAGAGACTGATGGTCTGCCGGCAGACTGGGACTCGCAGCGAGGTCGAGCAGGTGGCGACCACACCTGGGCCCGGTTGAAGAGTGGGGGGGGGGTGTGTGTGTGTGTGTCGAGGGGAGGGGGGGGGTTAAAGACTAAACAAAAATACGGTGCATTTGACGGCGCTCGTCAAGTAAAAAAAAAAGAAAGAAAGGAAACAAAAGATTAAGACTTAAGACTTGTACTTGAACTGGGAGGCTATCTCTTGACCCCCCCCCCCCACAACCCCTCCCCCCACTATCACCGATGATCCTGTTCCATTTTAGAAAAAAAAACTGTAGAAGTGCCTAAAAAATGCTCATGAACGAGATACACACACACACACACACTCATTTATCCAGAGCGCATCACTCGGAGACACACAAAACACCACCGGCTGTCGGGAGCTTGAGAGGACTTTATTTCGGGGAAAGACATCACAAGTGACTCGATGGAAACGAAAGAAGTCAAAGACCCGACAAAGAAAAAGATAAAAACCAACTAGCTTTGTAGGACGCGTCGTTTCTAACCACGGTTTGAGTAGTTTACACAAGGAATGTGAGTGAGACAAAAACAATGTATTGTAAGACGTGTCATGTAAGTAAAGTGTCTCTTTTTTGAGAGTTTATATTCATGGTTCTAGAAATGTATTCAGTTATTTAAATTTTGTGTTGTGTCTACTATCAAGGTATTTTTGACCCCTTCCCCTTTGTCTCCTCCGCCACCTCCACCCAAAACAATCATCCTTATTCCATTCTTTGTCCACCAACCCTTCGTTTGAAAAGCACGATCTGACTAACTCTTTATTTTACAAACCCCCCCCTGATGTAATTTCATGGTGCTTGATTAACATCGATGATCCACAATCACTTCACTCTGGTTTCATGTGTATATTTGGGGGCCTTTGTTCGCTCCGATTGTCTCCACGCGCATTCTGATTTGTCAGTGATTTTTGTGGAAGGTGGTGAAAGTTTTGTTTTTGTCGTAATTTATTATGTTATTCTTGGTCAAATTTTAGTCAAACTATGTTGTTAACTATTCTATTTTGAAATGAATGTAATTTATTGAGCTGTTCTGCACGGTTGGTCATTTCGAGGTCTAACCTGTCAGGTCAGCGAATGAGAAGTCGCGCTCGTCTGAGGGGCGGGGTTTAAAAGTCAACCCACCAATGGAAAGCTACTGGATCTTTCTTGCCTTCTCACAAGGTCACGGTGTCGCACTAAGAGCATAGTTATAGAGTTTCTTGTGTTGTTGGGGAAAAAAATGTTTATTGTATAGATGACATTTTACCAAAAAAAGAGCAGAAAATTTTCAAAAAATATGTACTTTTCACTCTAGTATAATAGTATTTCATAACAATATTAAGTTGTTGCCGTGGCAAACAAATGTTGCAATTACTAAAGTTCGGTATTTTTGTAAATTACATTGTTAAGATGTTTGTTTTGTTTCTCTTTGCTAGAACACTGTACACAAGGTAGATTGTAAAGAAGATATGAACACATTCTTATTCTTCACTGAGATTATGACAATGACCTAATATTTACATTAGCAGATAGACAGCCTGTGTAGAGCTGTGACTGTAACAAAATATATTTAAAGTCATCAATATTACGCAGATTATATATATATATATATTATATATGTATATGTATGTATGTATAATATATATGTACATGTGTATATATACATACACATACATATTTATACTATACATATATTTGTGTATGTATATATATATATATATATATATATATATATATATACACACACTACACCAAATAGAACTAAATAATCTAAAGTTAATAAGTTCAGAAGTCCAACCCCTGACAAAAGATCTTTATATGTTCTACATTGAGACATTTTATTCGAGGCATATGTATTACTAGAGTTAAGGATTGCACTTTTCATATTGTTTGAATGTGATCGGGTTTCTTTTTTCATTCCCTTTAAAGGGTTCTGTGAGGTTTCTGCACCCTGCTAGTAGTCAGTCTGTCTTATCGATCCAAAGCACTGGTGAACGACTCCAGTTCAACATGTTGCATGAGAAAGCATTTTCTTTTCTTGCTGAACGATAACGTCCTGAATGTTTCTCCTCACGAAATGTTCCGATTTGGTGACCCCCAATGTGTATGGAAGCCTCTTGAGGTGTAATGTTATTTTTTGTTGTTGTTTCTTTTTTTTAACGTGTTTGCAATGATTGACTGACGGAGAAAGAAAAAGAAGAAATGTAAGCACTTGTAAGCAGTCTCAGCTTATCCAAAACACTTTGCCTTATCTTGACTCCATCGTGCTTAAGGTTTTATGTTTTTAAGAGTTCCTAAGAAGTTTATTCAAGAGATCTGGCCGGGTCTCCTTTCTCAAATCCCTTCTTAATTTTCCTTTTCAAATGTGTATCTTTATATCTGAAAACACTTCAAGGTTCAAGGTTTTATTGTGCACATTAAAAGGCCAAAAGCAGGGTGGGTGTTTGCAATTCACAGCTTTAGCCAGAAGATGGCGCTACACTGGAGACCGCAGGCACTGAATCGTTACCGCCTGTGTGTGCCATCGTTTTTTGCAGTGTGCCCCTTCAACACAGACAGAACGATAAATTGACGAGAAAACTCTCACCGGATTAATAGTTTTAATGTAATCATTTTTTTTAAATGTATTGTTTTTTCTGCATTTACTTTGTGCTATTTTATGTTTCTATAGTCAAATATTTCTTTGGTTCCTGCAAGATAGTGTAAAATCTATTGAAAGAAATAAATAAATAAAATCAAAGAAATGTTTGGCTTGGATGTCTTCTTAGTGTCCCATGGAGGGAACTGAACGGGGCCCCTCGTTGGTCCCAGAAGTCCACTTTGGAAACCACTACCATAAACGCACATAAACCCAGCGAGTAGGTTCTCAAGCTTCTGACCAAATGTTGATGCTGCTTTCATGGAAGTAGTTATCTGCCATCCGCCATTCAGTAACCACGCGGGAACGCCGCGATAAGGACTCGTTAATTTGTTTCCCATGTCATTTCCTCCAGTGGAAACATTTTTTGAGTCAAGCAAGAAAATGTGAGGGTTTGATCAGACATCTGCTTAGTTACTTTTATACTTCCACACTCAATGGACTGAAATAGTATATTTAACAACAAGCAAGGCCAAGAGCAGTGGACACCCACGTAGAATTTCCTCTTGAGACTTGCGGGACTCGTCCCGTCATCCGATTGGTGCTCAGCCCGGTTTCCCGGCAGGATGCCATGACAACAGTGTCACCATCAGTCCATTTAGAAAATGCCCCAATATAACACGTGCTTCTATTCCAGTGACTAAGCCCCCCCATGGCCACAGCGCGACCTTATAGAACAAGTCCGGGAGGTGGGTCAGTTTTTCTTCCAGCAACGTTGACCCGAGTGCAATTAAAATATATATTTTTTAAATCTGGATGCAATGAAACTTACAAAACAGGGCAAGTGGCAGTTTCCTTTACCACGCATGCATCTTAATCCCCCCCCTCCGACCCCCATTTGCTAAAATCTCCATCCTCCCTCTGTCTCCATGTGGCACTAATCGCCCCTCATACATTCCAGGAAATAGTAGCCTGACATCCAGTGCGCGTGTGTGTGTGGATGCGCCGACTCCAGAGGCGTGGACTCCCAGCAAAGCCCCGTCGCCCCCGAACAAGGATGAGCACGGCGCTTCGCCTTTAACCGTACCCCCCCCCCCCCCCCCCCCCCCACACCCCCCTCCCTCCCGACCCCACCCCCACTGTACCCCCACTGTGCGGGAGACGCGCGCCGCTCCCGTCGGCACGCACAAAGATGCGCCTCGGCTCTAATAATAGCCTCCCTTATTTTTACCCCACCAACGCCTTATTGCATTATGGATGCCCCCGGAACGGTGCCCCTGCCAGATAGCGTGGGAACATCTCGGTAGAGAGGCCGTGGCCCTTCCATCCTCTCGCGGGGGCCGCCCGCTCCAGCATCCCGCCGCCGCCACAGAAGGAGAAGAAGAAGGAAGAGGAGGAGGAGGAGGAGGAGGAGAAGAAGGGAACGAGACGGGCCGGTTTTCCGCGCGTGTAGACCCGCCCGTGCGCCGGGGGTGCGTTCGGTTTGGCCCGCCGCGGTAAGACCTCGTTCTCTGCATGCCGGATCCAAGTCCGCCGGAGCGCGATGCGGGAGTATAAGGTGGTGGTGCTCGGCAGCGGCGGGGTGGGGAAGTCCGCCCTGACGGTCCAGTTCGTCACCGGGACGTTCATCGAGAAGTACGACCCGACCATCGAAGATTTCTACCGGAAGGAGATCGAGGTGGACTCCTCTCCGTCGGTGCTGGAGATCCTGGACACGGCCGGCACCGAGCAGTTCGCCTCGATGAGGGACCTTTACATCAGGAACGGCCAAGGCTTCATCCTGGTCTACAGCCTGGTCAACCAGCAAAGTTTTCAGGACATCAAGCCCATGAGGGACCAGATCATCAGGGTGAAAAGGTGAGACGGGCCCCGCGTATTAACGTATTAAAGAAAGATGATTGATCCCCTGTAGTGTGATGGTGTTATTTATTGTTTGAGGGCCCCTGTAAGTTGTCGCGTCCGGCTGCTACACATCTTACCACACAAGTTGTGTTGTGATGCAGGGTAATGATTGCAACACTCATTCCTTGAAAATGCCCCGTTGGATTTATTGCTGGGGCCCCTGGGACCCCAAAAAAGTCCCCTTGTCCCACTTAAAGAGACACGACAAAATGTGGGATTGTTCTTTTGGAGGAGGAATCATAAAACTTTCATCTTCTCAGCTCCCTCCTCTTCCTCCCTGTCTGGACCCTGCCTCCCCCCCTCCCTCCCCCTCCTCCCTGCGCGTGAGACGCTGCATCCAGCTCACATGTTCTTCATAAGGGAGGCCCAGCTGCGGCTCACCTGTCATACAGCAACCCGCTGAACTCCCGTCTCATATCCTCCGTCTCTCACACATGACTTACTCTGGGTGGCTTTCATCAGCTCAGTCCATTACTCAACAAATCCACTGAGCTCACCTCACGGCTGGGGGGAGGAACCGAGAGAGGGGAGAGAAGGGGAACGGGGATCTGTCCCTCCGACGTGTCTTGAGGCCTAGCGTTGTGAGGGCGGGACCGTATTACGCGGGGCTGTCTTGGTCCCAGGACAATGTTCCCTCTGCAGGATCAAACCTATTTCATATTAAAAATGGTGTTCAAGTATTAAAGACGTCGTTACGTTGAGATAGGAGGGGACATGAGGGTCATTGGCCGTCATATTCGCATGATGCCCAAAACTCAAAGGGACTCGAAGGGATAGGAATATGAGTGAAGGTGCAGCCTTCGTTTAGCTTAGCTTAGCTTAGCATAATGACTGGAAGCAGGAGGCGCTATCCTGGCTCAATCCAAAGGTAAAACCCCTGAAGCTCAATAAGCGACACATTATTACATCTAAGGTGCGTGCCGGTATCTTAGCAGGACGCAAAGGAGTGTGGTCCTCGTCACAGGGTTGCCAGGCAACCAGCTGATGACTGCGGTAGGTCACAGCCCCCCCGGGTGCCAGAAGCAGTCCAGCACACAACCCCCTGCTTTGTAAATTGTACGCCTGTGTATCCGACTGCATACTGTGTCATTTTATACAACCCTACAGTATGGTCCAGCCCCGTCCCCCACCTCACCCCCCTCCATCCACATCCCCACCTGTCCTCAAGACTGTGTCTGTAAATGTCTCGCGCTTTCATTTCTCACTCACGGATGTCGTGATCGTGGCTGTATGTTTGCGCTGAATATCTTTCGGCAGCGAGGACCGGCTCGGGTGGAACGCTGAACGCGACCCTTGCCCGCTCTCCGTCAGCCCGCGTGGATCCGCGAGGTCGGCCTCCCTCCTCCGGAACTTCTCGCTGAGCCAGCGGCAGCAACGAGCGCCACACGGAGATGTAGGATGTGCCCACTCACCAGGACTTAATGGGATTGTATGGGTTGGCACACAATATAACATCGGCCCTCGTATAAGGAGACATATAATCCGCCCGAATAGGACCGGGGCGGAGGGTCTTGTATTTGTTTGTGTGGGGGGGGGGGGGGTTACCATGGGAAAGATGTGGGATCCTGCATGTTTCTGCTCTGTGTGGCACGTCACCTGGATGGTGCTGACTCGTGTGCGAGGCGGGAAATACACTTTGACTAATAGTTGGACATTTTGGAAAATACACCGAATCAGTTTCTGGCCAAGAGTTAAATGAGAAGGTCGATAACGCCGATAACGTCTGCGCTGCATTCAACCGGAGCCCCGGGGCCAATTAGCTTTGCTTAGCATAATTCATTTAAACGGGGGTCAACACCTCATGCTTCAGCAGATTATGCTACATGCAGCCGTGGAGCTCAACTATTTAACATGTGGAACTAAGCTAAGCTAATCGGCTGTAGAGCGTATTTGCATCATTCTAGGCGAACGCCCGTGTCCACGCCGCAATCTGTGGAAACAACATCTGGGTGGAGCCCTCCTCGCAATCTAATAATCTCCCCGCTTGCCTGTAGAGCTTTATTGCAGTGTCGGCCCCGGAGGAAGAGGAGGAAGAGGAGGAGGAGGAGGAGGAGAGCGCGTTCAAAGCACTCGGGCTGCGTTTTCACGCTGCACTGATGCTGTGTCTAATAGCCGGAGGTGAGCATCGGCGAGTGGCACCAGAAAACTACGCGTCCCAGAAGGGAGAGCAACTCCCCGACCTCGGGGCTTTTAGCGCCCGCCGCCAAGATGAGAGAGAGAGTTGTTGTACCCGGTTTGAAGTGCTCTTTGGGACGGACTCGGCGCTTTTCGGCAGCTGTTGCACATCTGTGTTAACACGTTTGGAGCTGATCGAATATACGCTGGGACGGTCTCTCGCAGGTGAATACATCAATAAATAAAGGCCCCCAAGTCCAGAGGAGGTAAATGTCACTCAATGCAAAAACAGTCACTATAAGCTGCTTCCACACCAGATGTCTGGTTCGAGTCTGTTGAAGTCGGTCCGCTGCTGTAAAAGCTCAATCAAGCCAACTTTAAGAATCCCGAGAACATTCGGGACATTAAAGTTCCCTCCCACTCGTTTTTATACCTCTTCATTTCGTACTGTGGACCCCCTTCGCAAACGGACACGTGCGTGAGGCTGCTAATTAGCGGCAGATGCAGAGATCGCAGAGGGGCCGGGGGCCCCCCCGCTGTCGGAGGCGCCTGGCTGTTTTTGTTTGTAGTTTCTGCCTCGGCCCATAAGGGAAAGTCACTGTAGCTGTTTAGCACAGCAGGTAGCGTTAATACGGCGCCAGCAGCCTCAGGCTCAGTGGGAAAATGTTTTTTCCCCTCCTTGTGTGTGCAAGCTTTTATTTTCTTTTTTGTTTACTGTAGAGGCCAAATGTCGCTCAGCACATCTTGTGCAAGATTCCACATCTCAGAGGACTCGCCCACCAACAGAGCGTCGCCCCGAAGGACTGTTTTCATGGCGGCATCGCGGGATCTACGTATCATTTCATCAAGCCGCCGCTGGTCGTTTCGCCCCAAAATCCAACGTGACTCGTCTCCCACAAAAACGCTGCACATTCACAGTGCACATTAGTCTAAGCCGAGCCGTGCAAGCACCTTCCCACCAGTGGTGCTTGGCTGCCAAGTCGTGCTGGACCGGCGTCGGCTCTGTTGGTAATGTCCTCCTGCTTTATGGCACACAGGTGATGGTCACCGCACATTCGAGAAGCCACCATAACCACGAGGCCGCTCTTTACTGTGAATATCGACATACGGCAGCAATACACACAACATGAGGGCAGTGTAAAGGAAAAGCAGCCCATCTGCCTCCTCAGATTCTAGAGAATATCTACCGCTGTACCACAGAGAGCATCCTTACAAACTGCATCTCAGTACGGTATGGCAGCTGCTCTGTCGTGGACCGTAAATCACTGCAGAGAGTGGTGAAAACCACCCAACGCATCACCGGTTCCTCCCTCCCCACCATTGAGGCAGAGCAAGAGATGTCTGCGGAGGGCACGCAGCTCTCACCCCAGCCACAGACTGTTTGCCCTCCTCCCCTCTGGGAGGCGCTACAGGGTGCTCCGTTCCCGGACCAGCAGGTTCAGGAACAGCTTCATCCCTGCGGCTGTCATTCTACTGAACTCTGCCCCCCCTGAACTCTGAACTCTGCCCCCCACCCCCCCACACACAGTGACTGTACTTCCCCCTCCACCCTGGCTTGACTGCCACACACACTCCTCCAGCCACTGAACATTTGCACCAGAATGTTTTTTTTTATTACTGTATTAATCGTACTTATACCTACAATACCTCTTACTGTTCATATCTATTCATTCACTTATTACACTTTACATGTTCACATACTCTGCACTTTTTGCTATTTTGCACTCTGGTTGGATGCTAAACGGCATTTCGTTGCCTCAGTACTTGTACTGTGCAATGACAATAAAGTTGAATCAAATCAAAAAGTCAAATCAAAATACAGACTTCAGTTTGAGCTGTTAAGAAAGCTAACAGTGCTAAAGAAAACAAAAGGGCTAAATTTGATTTGAATAAAGGGACCTGAAGCTGCAACATGTGGCCAGTCCTCCTTTATCTGGAGACAGTAAATGTGTTCGCAAACAATATGTCACCTTTTGCATATTAATGTGGGTTTTTTTATATTATCTGTATCTGTCACCCGTCCAGCGGGTTTTGAGTTCCCCCCCCTCAGCGCAGGTCTGATGCCGCATCAAACGACCCGCCGTCCCACCCGGGCCACGCCGCCCCCTCCCCATCCCTCCCCACCCGGGAGAAGCTGCCGCCCCCCCGCGTCTCTGAAGTTATATATAGAGTTCCTCCTGCGAGCCTGTCAGCTTGCATTTGTCCCCGTGAAGCGCACCTCGTTCACACCCCCCACACACACACACTCCCCCCCCATTCCCCCCTCGAGTCCGGCTCTCCGAGACGCCCGTCCTGCTGAGGTCAGCTCTTGTGCGTGTGCGTGTGTGCGTGTGTGTGTGTGTGTGCGTGTGTGTGTGTGTGTGTGTGTGTGTGCGTGTGTGTGTGTGTGCGTGTGATGCCGTGAGAGAAAATGTCAAGCTGCAGGGAAGTCTTTTGACATTTGAACATCCCCCCCCCTCTCCCATCCACCCACGCTTAAAAATATTACATCATGTTTGCCTTTTTGATGGGGGGGGGGGGTGGGTCTGCTCACTTGAGGAGTCGAGCCGAGCCTCTTGGGCCCCGCCCTCTGGGTCAAGGGCACCTCAACAGGTCTGTTTCGCTCAGGGAGACCCTCAACCCAGGGGGGGTGGGGGCCAGCCGGCCCCCAATTTGCAGATAAGAGCTCATTTCCTGTTAATAACAGCAGCGGATGGATAAGCCGGGGGGGGGGGGAATGGTGGTCGAGTTTATTAGGGGGCCCGGGCCATTTCCCCTGGGAAAAAATGTGCCCGCTGTAATGGACATGCCGTGGTTATTTAATCAGAGGAAACAAAGTACGTATATAGACAGCGTCACTGTCTATGTGCTGGAGCACGGCGAGCGTAGCGCCGCTCACCCCCGTCTGCGTCATGTGGTCTACCTGATGTTTTACCCCCCCATGCCAACACAACGCCACGCTGTTTTCGATGAATGAGCCAGAGGAACACATTAGGTAAATTTCAAAGTTCATTTCAAAGGTATACGAGGCCGACATGGAATGGACCCCCCCCCCCCCCCCCCCCCCCCCCCGCCGCCCCCCACATTAGAGCAGCGCATTAGCTTTATTGATTTATTCAATAATCTACCATCACTCTCCCCGCCCTGGTTTCCTTGTATCGATGGACGCAGGAGAACTGTCATCGTCAGCCGCGCGCCGAGGGGGTGTCGGAGGGGGTTCTGACCCGTTAAAAGACGCTCAGTGCGTGATGTAAACGCAAAGTGGAGCGCCGCCCATCGCCAACGAGAACGGGAAGCCATTAGACGCCGCATACACAACATCCCAGGAATAAATAGATTGTTTATTCCTCCTTCCTGCTGAGGGGTTTCTAACGGGACGGCCCAGTGGCGATAACGCCGGCGGGGAGTGATGGAGGCCTCCTGGGGGGCTGGAACTGTTTATCCCGCTCCCCTTTGCTCCATTGTGCATTGTTCAAAACCGTTATTGTTTTTGCATCTAACAAACAGTATGTAGGCCAACAACACTCACACTCACACACACAGAGTTTGGTGTGTTTCTTTCCCTCCCGCATTCCCCCTTCGGTACCAGGAAGTTGCTTTAGTCTCGGCCTGGAACAAAACGGGGGGGGGGAGGCAGACAGCAACTTCATGATGTGCACGGCTCTGATGCTTCTTTTTTTTCCTCATTTCCAGGTACCAGCAGGTGCCGGTGGTGCTGGTGGGCAACAAGGTGGACCTGGAGGAGGAGCGGGAGGTGTCCCCCGGCGAGGGCCAGGCGCTGGCCGAGGACTGGGGCTGCCCCTTCATGGAGACCTCGGCCAAGAGCAAGACCATGGTGGACGAGCTCTTCGCCGAGATCGTGAGGCAGATGGACTTCTGCCCTCTGCCGGACCGGAGGGAGGCCTGCTGCCCCGCCTGCAGCGTACAGTAGCAGCCTGCCAGGGCGGGCGGTGGGGGGGGGAGGGGGGGAAGTGGAAGGCGGTCGGCAATTAGGATGCAAAGGAATTATGGTTAGTCGAGTTGAAGGGATTGGAAAGTGAGAACCCACCAAACTGTTAAGACCTGCTTCCTGTATCGAGCAGTTTAGGCCTGTGCATTCTGGGAAATGTAGGAAATCCCTTAACTGATACAGGCGTAGCAAAAAGAGGGTTTTATGGGAGGAGGGGGCGGGGATTCATCACTCTTGGGACATCGGGTGGATTTTTTTTCCCCCTGAGAGAGAAAAAAAGCGACGCGACCCTCGACCGCCGGCGTCCCTCACCGTCCTCCCGGTTGACAGAAGACAACGCTCCGGGTTTCCCGAAAGGCAGCACGGTGCCAAAAACCACCTCGACAGCCAAGAGGATCATAGTGCTAAATGCATTTTGGGAAACCAGCCATCGGCCCGGGACGTGTTCGACAGTTTTATCGCTCCTCTTCTCTTCTGCTTATGCTTCTTTATTTTTTTACTTTTGCACGTTTGGGAACTTTTTTCTTCCTGTTTTTTTTTTTCAAACAGTGCCAGACCAGTCACCTGGATGTCCCGACCCGGATGTCAAGTAACACCACTGTGATGGAGTCGTACTGGAAGTTAATCTCACAGCAGGGCCCGCCTGAATATGGATGAATGACGAGATGAGAGAATGTCTGAAAAAAGGGGAGCCGCACCTCATTAACGCAGGACATCCCAGATGTTGGCCTGCTGTGGATGGCGTGTGCATGAAGCTGTACTGTCACACCGACATTGAGTACGACCAACGTCACCCAAAGAGACAGTATCGATCAATCAACTGATGAAACAATCAGCCGGACACTTCTTTACACCTTACAGATGATACAAATGCCTTGTTACATTGTATGACGTGAACATCAGTGTCAGCGTGTAGTTCTTTTATCTTAACGTCACATCAGATATGTTAGCGGTTCAATGTGAGGAACACTTATTTTCAACAAAAAAAAAATAAACCTTTATGCACACATGTGTCTTGTGTAATTATTGTTGTGATCATGTTTTCGTGTGATTTTGACGGTAAAATTGTGTTTTATTTCAAACTGTAAAAGCGCCGGCTCCTGAGTGCTAAATAAAACTTTTGGGTTCTGTCTCCTCATACTTTAGCCTCCAGAGGTTGTTAGATTGGCGCCCGTTGTGGAACTAGTCCTTTCTGCTTCGCTCTCCAGCGGTAATCTGGCTCCATCTCGGCCTGCGTCGAGGTGATTTACGATGTTTCGCCCCCCCCCCCCCGGCTGCGTTCCCTGGCCGGACGTCTCTCTGCTCCAGCTGCTGTCATTACTGCCAACACTCACTGATGAGTCTGGTCCAGAAAACTCCAAGCAGCGTTTGTCAAATTCTGAATGCCATTAGGAGCCATTAGAGGATGAAGTTGGGGACATGTGAGACTTGAGAGCCAAGATCATAACTTTGGGATCCATCCAATCAGCGTAAGAGCAACAGTCTTTCAGCACTTAAGCAACAGAGATTAGTAATTCAGAAATGAAATCGTCGAGGCACATCATAAATAAGAAAAACTTTTACACAAGTGCTTAAAGAAATATCAAATAACTACTATACAGAGACATATTATGTTGTTAGGGCCTGTTGATGAATGTGGCTCTGATGGAGACTCTTTTTCTATCACTCTCTCTAGCAACAGATAAATATAGTACATCGGGGTTTCCTTTACGTAAGCCTCTTTAAGTTATTGATCAACAGTGACGCCTGCTGTTAGAAACTGGAACTGCGCCCCGTCGTACATGCCACGCGGACCTTTACGGACGCAGACTGCAGTTCCTACCCGGACCGAAATATTCGTTGCACACTAGATAGGCATGGCGTCCTTCAAACAGAAGTGATAAAAAATTATCAATTTTGCACTTCTGTATCTTTTTTATTTTCGTATGTGGGTACATCACTATTCCTCACAATGGTGACCAGGACCGCGTGTCAACTGCTCCAGCGCCGTGAGTAGCATTAGCTGCCAGTTTAGCATGCGAGCTAGCTAGAGCCAAACGATCACCGACAAGTTCATATTTAGGGTTTTGATGAAGAACGTTTTCCTTTTAATTATTACATATTAACGTTACATAATATTGAAAGCAAATGTGTGATCAATTACGAACTGAATTAATTCCGGTTAGCAAGCTGCTTCTTTTAGCATTAAATGACATAACGTTACTCAAATTAGCGTTAAGTTACATTATTGTTACATTATAAGTACATCCTGACTACCTGTCTAATCACCAACAAGACCGTAGATATTCTAAATATCTTCTACAATCATGTTAAGTAACGCAGTACTAGTTGAAAGTTTGTCAGTGTTGTTTAATTGTGCAAATGTTATATGAATTTAAATCAAACGCATGTCCTTACTTGTATCTAAAACATTGGAGACTACACTTCCCATAATCCTTTATTTCACAACACAAGCTCTCAGTCTGAAGTTGTTACCCTGACTACGTTGCCATGACAACCCCCCCCCCCCCCACTCTCCTATGCGTCCACAGGCTTTGCAACTGCCGCGGCGGCAGCGGCGGGGTCAGCGCGTGCACCGGCCCCCGGGGGCCGCAGCCAGCGCAGTGCCGTCTTCTCCAGAGAGCAGGCCAGGCAGAGGGCTCTGTACCCCCGCATCGAGAAGATCGAGGTGTCCATGCAGGGCCCGGGCCTGGACGGGACCCTGCTCGTCATGAACAAAGGGATGTCCACTCCGCTGAGCTGTGCCAGACGTGAGTCCACAGGAAGTCCCCGTGGAGGACCCCCAAACCACATGGCTCATGTGTCCGCTTCATCCGCACGCTGCTTCGCGTTCTGCTGTTCATAAATATTTGTTTTGCTCTCTGGCCGACTGTCTGCTCCTCCTCGCAGACCTGACAGAGCATCACGTGAGCAGCTCGGCTCTGGCCCTGGTGGACGGGGAACCGTGGTCTCTCCACCAGCCCCTCACCCAGTCCTGCTCCCTGACTCTGCTCACATTTAAAGACCGGGATCCCACGCTGGTCAACCAGGTCATTAACAACTTCAATCTATTTTATTCGATAAGAATCTCCTGCTTTTTCTTTGTGTTTTAGGAATGTGTTTGTTTTGAAAGTGAACTGAGCCAAACTTCTGTTTGACGTATTCTTAAACTCTATCTCTCAGCTTTCTTCTAGTGTTTCTGACTTTCTGGCTGGCGTTTCCATCATTCTTTTTCTATGAATAGTTTTGCCCTGTTTGGTAAAGGAATACTGACACATACCTGCAACCAAAATAATAAATCTCTCTCTGAAAGTTCCTTTCAACTATTTTATTTGAGATCGCCAATTTAATAACATAAGCCCAACAAATAAACTCTCCGATACTCCACAAGTCTCTAACCTTCCTCAATCGGTCAGCTTTTTTATTTTATTTAATTGACTGTGTTAGGGACGTTGTTGAAAGGGTTTGACGTTTGACAGCGCGTCCTGTTGTCTCCCCTCAGGCCTACTGGCGCTCCTGCGCCGCCTTGCTCGGCCAGGTGCTGGAGACCGCGTTCAAGGACGACTTTGCCGTGGAGCTGCTCGGCACGCCCGAGGTGCCAGGTAGACCAGCTCCTCTTTGGGTCACACGCGCCGGGCCGATGGGAGGTGCTTATTGGTTTGTCTCCGTGTCATTTGTTTCCATGCAGTCACTTCGGGGGCTTTCTGCTGCGACGTGGTGCTCGACCCTCAGCTCGACTCGTGGACTCCCTCTGAGGTGCGTGGGTCTGTTTGTGTGTCGCCGTTCCAGTCAGGGCCAACGTCGATCAAATGGAGAGGTGTCCACACCAAATACAGTGATTATTTTACGTTTGTGCTCCCCTCCTCAGTAGCCGTGCATGTGTCTCAAATCATAATTCACAATAAATGAGAGCCGTAGTCATTTTCACAACGTCCTACTGTGTTTGTGTGAGGAAGAGAGTAACTTTTATCACTTTCTCATCACCTTTTAAAGTATAATAACTTGATTTTGAGCCTGATTCTTTGTGAGATGTGTTTGCAAACCATCATGGCTGCTCTTTCCCCCCCCAGGAGTCCTTGCGGTCTCTGACCAGAGGGGCCCAGCAGCTCATCCACACCGACCTGGCCTGGGAGCCTCTGGAGGTGGCGCCCTCTGTGGCGCTGGAGGTCTTTGCACACAGCAGGTAGATGGCGCAGCGAGTTCTTTGCATCTCTGATGCTTTTTTTTTTTTTTGTACCTTATTCTCACGTCAAACCTTCATCGTTTGTCTTTCAGGTATAAACAGGAAGAGGTGGAACAAAAGGCGGCACAAAGTCCCAAAGGCACCGTGATGCTCCACAGGTGGGTTTGCTTTAATCTCCTGTCACACACATAAAGAAGGCGGCATATTTTAAACCGTTTCCCATCACCGATCACGTGTGTGCAGATGTGGTGACCATGTGCTGCTGAGTGTGGGCCCCCTGGTGGCCAGGACAGGCCTGTGCTCCCAGTACGAGGTGACGGCCCTCCACAGCCTGGAGCCGGGGCCCCGGGGCCTCCGTCGGCGAGCACAGGGCCTCTCCCTGCCTCTGCAGCTGCAGGTAGGGAAGTGTGTGTGTGGCGCGAGGACCCAACATCACTGAAGCACAGCGAAGGCTTTTCATTCAGCATTTAATCCTTTTACTGAAGTGGTGTGTGAAAAGTCTTTGTTTGTTATCTGTTTTCTAGTGTGACCTTCACTATTCTTAGCCGCTTATTTGAGATTCCTTTCTTTGGAGTTCAGTTGGAGGGTTTAGTTGCTACTGGGTCCAGACTTTGATGAAGGTGTAAATGTAACGTGACGATTGAATTATCCTACATTCCTGTGGCATAAAGAAATGTAACTTTAAATGACAACGTGAAGATGAATAGTTTAAGATATCATCAACGGGCAGCCTTTTGATTCAGACAACGTTTTAACTACGGTCCCAGTACAGATTACACACGTTTGACTGTTATTCCGATATGAGTATTTTCTGTGTGCCTGCACGTGCCTGCTAGTCACGTTGTCTTCCTCTCTGCAGGCTCACCACACAGTGTGGAGGAAACTGAGGCAGCGGGCAGAGAAACTGGTAAGAAGAACAATCATCTTCCTCCTTTTGTTTTACCTCCAACGGACTTCAAAGCCGCCGCTTTGTGGCCAACTCTGGTCTAGATGACGGATTCTTGTCCAAATGACTCGTTTGCACACTCAGCCAGCGTGGTCCCTGGCTGCAGCCCGCCTTTCAGATTCCACAAAGCACCCGGGGTTGGGATTTAACCGAGCCTACGTTTTATTGCTTTTTGCATTTATGCTTTGGCAAAGGCAGAGGAGACGCAGCGCGTCTGCAGGGGGGAGGGGGGGGGAAGGGGGGGGGGAAGCAGCTCTCGTTCTCCTCGCGAAGGACAGACGGCTGCTTTCAGAAGTCGACATGAAAGACGTAGTCACTAACTCGAGATCCAAGGAGGAGGTATTTTTAAATCTCTGCAGGTTCAAGGCTCCCCGATTCTAGACTTCTAGACACGCGGTGACACTCGGATTGACGCAAAGCGGAATCGTCTCTCTGCGCGCGGAACCGAGTTCGACTCCAAAGGAGAGGCATCAATTCTTCAAACTCCAAACTAGGCTGCGAGTTAATTTTGGATGGACTCATTTAGGCGAAAATATATTTTGCTGCAGCTTTTCTGGCATTCTCTGTGCATCACTGATTGCGTAACGGGACGAGGGGAGAGAGAGAAAAAAAAGAAAAGAGTAGTACTCATTAATAGACACTCTTTATTTGGCCACTGATGACAAACCGCTCCGTGGCCTACATTTCACTTTCACATGTGGTCCTCCGGAGAATCGAAACGGCACTTTATGAAAGACAAAAGTACGGACGTCAGAGCCGGAGCGACATTAAAAGTGGAGGACGTTTGGATCGCGTCTTTCTGGCACCGTCGTGAGCGGCGCATTAGCATGCAGAGCGGCTACAGGACATCACCGTTATGGATTCAGAGGACACTGCTCCATAGTATCACCCGACGTTGTGTTGTGTGTGTGTGTGATGTGTCTGGAGAGCGAGCCGTCCTCCCCACTTCCTTCACAGAGAGCCACTGCTGCTGTAAACTTAAACTGCTCGCGGACGTTTTCATTCTTTCCCATAAAACCACGAGGCGGCAGATGAAACGTCTCCGTGTGGAAACTGAGCGAGCGACGCCGAGCTGCTTTAACAAACGACGAGCGAAAAGGACGTGATCTTTTTCTATTTTTAAGACGGGGCGGAGCGATTGCGAACGTTTTCCATTTGAAGTTATTCTGACTGTTAAAGGGTTTTCTTTCTGCATCATTATTCTCACTCGCTGAAAAACATAAAATGAGCGAGTTGTCGGCCATCTCCGCAGCACCACAATGTTTCATTCAAAGTGGTGTTTTGACACATGTTCCGTTGCCTGCTGGGCACGGCGAGATGAAAATGGCAAAAGGCCGTATTCTCAATAAGACTTTAGTCTTGCTTTTGAGGTTTGACCATTTATTTTGATGGAAAGCCATAAAGGTTCCTTCAGGCCTTTTCATTTGTCACGCCGTTAATGGGAATCTCCTCCGCAAACCAGTCATCCAGTCATTTACAAGATGAACTTCATTGGGAAAAGCTGCCTTTACATTCAAAGGATTGTTTAACACCGTAGATGAAAGTAACCGTGTAGTAGTCTCTAGTACTTTATCGGTACAGCAAATACACCAAATATTTGCTGTACTTCATTTTGCAGCCTCTGATCTGATGTGTTGAAGCTGTTTACTGTGTCAGACTTGGTTTTTCTCTTCAGAATAAGTCTAGAGGGGAGAAATGTAAAAGGGATTTTGACATTGAAAGGTCAGATCCATTGGACAGAATAACAGAAACCCTTTAAAGTCGCCCTGCCCCCCCCCCCCCGTTTTACCTCGTTAACCGCCAGACGTTTTGAATGTTGTGACCCGTTGTCCCCCGTCTGCCTCCAGCTGACGCTCCACACCCAGCCGCCCACGTCCCTCTAACGTCTGCGCAGGAATGTCCCCAAACCCTCACCAAGTAGGGGGGAGGTCATAGTTCAACGTATTAATAAACACGCTGGTTGATACATGTGGCTTTATTCTGCACAGGTGGAGGTCCCGACACTTGAGGAAGTGGCTCCGCCCTCGGCCCCCGACTCCTCCCCCCCCGCCTCCGGCCAGCCAGTAACGACCTCTGTGTAACCTTCCGCACACGCATCAACACTTTGTCATGTATCCCGTTGTATCATTTGTTGGATTAATGTGTAAAAAAAAAAAAGAATATGTGAAAAAAACACCGCTTTTGTCGTTCTTTTGGAAATCGCCACAATTTTAAGGTGAAAGTTTTGTAGTTGGACCAAAGATTTTATCCCTGCGGGGAAAAGGGGGCTTCAGTTCGTAAATGTTCAGCTGATAGCAGGCGTGTGTGTGTGTGTGTGTGTGTGTGTGTGTGTGTGTGTGTGTGTGTGTGTGTGTGTGTCAGCAGTTTGCTTAACAACAAAAGCGGAGTGTGTCTGCTGGCTGAAGGTCGGGCAGCTGCAGAGTCCATCACTCCTCCAACAGGTGCTCTCAAATCCTCAGTGTGTTCACAGTCGACCGTGAGAAAGTGAGCCGTGAGGCGCGTTGGACGCGACGGCTTGTTGGTGTTTGGTTCATATTCTGATGTTTTTATATGTTTAGGCTATAAATGACTCGCAGACTGGCATCAGATCTTCTAGGTTCTTTGGGGCCTTCCGATCCATATAAATGGCCTCTTGTACGTGAAGAGTGAGGTAAATGATTCATTAAAAGAATAATTTAACACTGCACTTCACTTGCAGCAAGAAAGTAAATAAGCTCCCGTCCCCCAAACGCTTCCTTCGACCCATTTTTCCTTTTTTCTAGAGTGATTTAATCACAGGTGTCTGTCGAGGAATGCGTAAAACCTCAGGCCTGAAAACATTGCCGATGTGCAGCTGCTGCTGCCCCCCCCCCCCCAAACACACAGTGACAACGTGCGAGACACACCCAAGGACATATGCCTCGGAGCCCACCAGAGCCAGTAGAGATTTGAATTCCTCCCTCAGTCGTGGTTCTCCGAAGACGTTTTAAGATCAAACATGATTCCAATTGAACAGATACTAAAACCCTGTGGAATAATAGAGGAGCTTGGAGTCTGCTCAGTGATCAGAGCCGACTAGTCGGTGATCTGTAAGGACTAGAAAGTCTACAAGTCCTTGAGACTCGACCTTTCCCCACATTCCTCCCTAAGGCCTGCGCACCTCCAGTTCCCTGATGGTTTAATCGGAACTACTTCATCCAAAGAAAGACCCGCACCGAACACGTTCCCCTCTGTCTGGTTGTTGTGGACTCTTTGAAGGCATCATCTCCGTCCAAACCATCTATTATGTTTGTGCCTGTTTCCTCTTCAAGTCTGGTTCTCGTGATAAGAGAGAAGAGCAGGATGTTGTTGTTGTGTAGTTCCACTTAATCTCATTGTAGGCCTGTTACACAATTACAGCTGATCTTTTTTTAACCTTAAACTTGAATAAACTGCAATATTTCTGTCAATGATTGAATCCAGACCTCAATCCATGCCGCGCGCAAGTATCAAAGAGCCGCTTTAAACCCGCTCCGTGTCGCGCGCCACGCCGGTGACTCCCGTGACTTTTGGCGCTGCAGTGCGCGTCTTGGACACGGCGCTGCGCTCTCTGCGCTGCGCCGCCCCGCTCCCGTCTGAAAGCACACCTCCGCCCGCCCTCCCTCCCTTCCAAGGAGAGAGAGGGAGAGAAAACGAGAGGCGACGTCCACCCGCGTCTTTCATAGTAACCGAAGGCGCGCCGCTCCCTGCCAGACTTCTCGTCCCGGGGCACCGATCAGTGCCGGAGGCGCGTCCCGCTCGCGCCGCCCGCCGCTCCTCGCAGGTCCCGGTCCCGGTGCCGGTCCCATCGCTTGCGCCGCCCGCTCTCGGAGAACAAGTCTTGTCCCTGGAAGCTGGATGAATTATTGGAGAGTTGGGAACAAGTGCGAGAGAGAATCCGCCTCCGCGCTCCGTCCAGGGAAGCGACTCGGCCGCAGCGGTGGACGATGATGGAGGGGACGTCCCTGTGTCTCCCTGTGGTCATTTTACTGGTGCAATGTAAGTGATGGATGGAAACTGTTGATTAGGAAGAAGTGACCGTGTCTGTGTCTGTCGTTCGCCTTTGACCACTTCCCTCTGAAGGATGCGGCTTAGGACGAAGATTAGTTAAGTGCTTCCTAATTATTTATTTTATTCTAACTGGATTTCCTGGAATTTATACTAAAGAGCCGGTGGGAGCTGATTTCATTAAGGTCTTTCACTTCAAATGCTTTTAACAAGTTTCCACAGGAGGCTGATATTTAACATTTTGCTTCATTTTCATGAGAAAAAAAACCCAACCATAAGAAATGAATTTATTTTTGACATCGTGTGTGGTGTCACTCCGCAGTCCCCTGGGCCCACAGCGGAAGCCCCGCTGGGAGAGTGGGCCGTGGTGCCCAATGCCCGGCCCCTGCAGGTTGGCCCCTGAAAGTTGTATTTGGCAGGGTTCCAGCCCGAGGGCGTGGGCGGCACGGCGGCGGTGGTGGTGGAGGAAGATTGGGTGGTTTTTTGGCAATGGAGGTGGCGTATCTGCGCGTGAGGTCAGCGGTTGGATCGCCACCAGAAACCTCCAACTGTTCTTCTTTTTTGCTCGTGACGAGTTGTTTGTCTCGGCCGAGATGTGAGACCTGGAGAGGGACAAAAAAGGACAAATGTTTCCTTAAAAAGAAAAGGCCCAAAGGACCTCGGGCACCAGGTGAAAGGGAAGCGGAGTGTTTGGGCTCCTGGAGCGCAGCAGCAGTGTGAGATGGATGTGATGAGACACTGAGAGCGATGCAGATTTCACTCCTTGTTGTCCACGTTGTGCCACATGTCAGGTCACAAGTTCAGAGGTGTGTGTGTGTGTGTGTGTGTGTGTGTGTGTGTGTGTGTGTTGGCTGTGGACAGCCTAACACTGATCACTCATTGTCTGGCACGCTGATTGGTGTCAACAGTTTCTGATCCGCCGCAGCTCGACTGGACCGCCTGCGGAGTTTATTGTTTCAAAAGAGAAAAGAGAAGGACAAAAAAAAGCAATCCAGCAGGAAATGTTTTGGGAGGGTCTGTCGGCAACCCAACACCCCCCCACCCCCTATCGCAACCTCCCACTCGCACAACGCGTCTGCCCGGGACAGCTGTTGCTCACAGGGTTACAGTCATACAGAGAGGCTTTGTTTCAAATGGAGAGGGCACACACACACACACACACACACACACACACACGCACAGAGTCCTCCCTGTTTAGAATTTTTCCTTCTGTACCCCCACAGCCTTGAAATGTCCACATGCCCCTTATCTATATCACACCGGGACACGTCTTCTGGAACCCCCCCCCCTTCCTCCTCCATTTGTCTTGTTAATTCATTAGTGCTTCATTAATACGGCGCGTGCTTTTGACCTTGATTCGGCCTGGGCCACCCCCCTCTCAGCACTATCATGATCATGAGTCTCTGTACGGGCCGCGTAACGAGAGAAAGGGCTCCGTGCCAAGAAGCGAAAGCGTGCCATCTCTTTATTCCTTCCACTCAGGCGAGAGGGCGTCTGTCCCTCTGGGTTTGAGCGGTCGCAGTCATCGGTTGATGTTGATGCCACGCAGAAGCGCGCACGCCCGCGTTTGTCTGTTTCGGCGCCTTTGTCTGGACGTTTGCGTGCTTCAGAGCCACAACAGGCCCCTCGCCAAAGCACTTGAATTCCCTCAGCGGATATTTCTAGTGACACCAGAGCGCGTCTAAGAAGTCCACAAAAAGCAATTATCCAGCGTGGGATTCATGGCGGCGTCTCGCTCGACCTGCTCCCCATGAGCGACGGCGCTAACTTGTCGGTCCAAACGGGCCCCCGCTCGGCCAGCGCCTAGCCGGCTACGGGCCAGAGTCACGAGCGCTTCTAAAAGCAAAGTGCCTCCGATCCCCTCGGCCATTTTTATCCAGGCCAAAACCCCCGAAGAGACGGCCAGCAACTTCTGCTCCCCCTTCACCCCCCCCAACAAAATCCCCTTTCTTCGAGGAGCCCTGGGACAGCAGGCCTTTTGCTTTCCTTTAATTCAGCGAGCCACACCCCGTTAACACCACCCACCATGCAGTTGTGACACCATCCAAACGGGCCGTGTGCTCGCCATCCGCCTCGACGCCTTCGCCGGTTAATTGAGGCCATCGAAGGCGACAGCGTTTTGGTAGTGAGGGCCGCGCACTCGGAGCCTCTTAACTTACGCGTGTTTGCTTCCGTGTCAGTCACCAACCCCCCCCCCTCCCCACATTTCCTCCCCCCCTCGAAGAGAGCACCCTTCACGGTGTCTCACACTGTGTGACGAGCGTCTCCCAAACGCTGTCGCGGAGGATCTCCCTCGCCTTCAATCCCACTCTCTTATTCATGCTTCTGCGCCCCCCCACCCCACCCCGCGCTTCAGCCAACCTCCACCCCAGCCTCACCCTGCACCACCACTCCACTTCATTTGTATTCTATTCTTAGGGCCGCTCATCTCTCCTTCGCTCTTCTCTTTAATCTAATTGTGTCGTCCTCCTCCGGCCCGTCGCTCATCCTTTAGTGAGACAATGCTCCTCGCAGGGTGGCGAGGAACGGGGGCCGAGGCCGGGAACGATAATCCCGTTACACTATCGCAAGTCGACACGCACAGGGGGGGGGGGGGGAAGCGGATGGGGAAAAATGTGCCGCTTTAATTCACTTAACTGAAAGTAAGTGAGGCTGGTGTAAATTCAGCAAACTTCAAGAAGCTTTTTGGGCGAAAAAAACACAACTTGTAAATGCTTCATGCCGCATTTGCAGGATGACATTATTATTGTATACGCTGTTTTTTATTCAAAGGCCCGTTCTTAAAAATAGCCGCAAATAAGCGCGAGAGAAGCCAGTTTGTATGGTGGTCCGACGCGAGCGTTTCTTTTTCCTCGCTTCCTGCCCTTTGTCTCGGCTCGCCCTCCATCCTCCTGTGTGACCCCCCCCCCCCCACCCTCTCCCTTCACGGGAAAAAGAAAAGCTTCTGCAGCGGATCGTAATCCAGCGACAATCACAGGAAGGGACTGACAAACAGGAAGCGGCTCACATTCATCTCCCGATGCGTGTCTTTAAGTGCACGTCTGGGACATTTTAATCTGCACGCGTCATGCCATCGCCGGGGAACAATGGCCGGAAAACACTGTGCGTTTGTGTGCGTTTGCGTTTCTTCTAGGAATACGTCGCTATGAAATCTAATTGAATCCAATTGGACTAAATTACAAGTTGTGAGATGCTTTTCACGGCCCTGTGTTTCTGAATTAGAACCCTGGAGGACAGTTTCTCATTCATTATGTCATTTCCAAAATGCAAGGCCTCTTTTTAGATGTTCTAGAGAGGCCCGGTTGCATGTTTCCAGCCTGTTCTAATCCTCACCCTCGTTTGAACGTCAAAACCCGTATTTAACAACGGCATGACGGGGGAATAATCCGCCCCGTAAACCAATCAGGCACCGCTTCCGCTTCCTCTTCGGACGCTGGGCGTCCACGTCGGGGGAAGCCAACAGGGGACGGTGCGCCGCCGGGCCTCTCGGCTAATACGCCTCATTCATCGGGTTAATCTGGAAGACCTTGACCCGACCCCTCGGGCCGGAAAACATGCGGCGTGCTGCTCCTTAACCCCCCCCGCTGGATTAATGCGGAGGAGGGAATAATCCTACCCGGACACCTTGTGGGTTTGTGGAGAAAGACGCCAAAAACGGTTCCCGTCGCCCCCTATTGGACGACTAGCGATACTGCTCTGTGCAATGCTCTGACCCCTCTCTTTTTTATCTCCCACTCTCCCTCCCCTCTTCTTCTTCTTCTTCTTCTTCCCCTTCACACCACCAGGTTCCCCCTCCTTTCCCGTTACCGTGTCGACCGACAGACACAAGGTGGAGGTGAAGGAGTTCTCAGGTGAGACCCCCCAGGAGTCTGCAGCTTCGTCACTGTCCCTCTGATGGAATAAACCATGAGGCTAAAGATAGTAGTTCAAAATGCCCCTGACTGACGGCTTCGCTATCGCGTCATAAATATCTCATCGGTCCCCCCCCCCACCCCCCCAGACGCGGTGCTGTCCTGCACGTTCCGCACGGAGAAGGACCAGAACCCGCGCATCGAGTGGAAGAAGAAGGGGAAGGACGTGTCCTTCGTCTACTTTGATGGAAACTTCAAAGGTGAGAAAGTGGCCCGTTGCCCTCACCCTCCCTCACCCTCCCTCACCCTCCCTCACGAAGAGGGCCTTTGTTGTAATCAGCTCGCAGTGGCAGCTGTTTTTCTGTCTCCATCAGATGAGAGAAAAGCACCAGCCGGACGGCGTGAGGGGAGCAATGAACTCTATGAGATATTTAAGCTGATCCACAGTGTCGCGGCAAACAATGCCCCTCTCCTGTATCCTAGGATGTCAGCTTACTGGCTTAAAATACATAATAAATCATGCAATTATCGCAAAAGGGTCCAGCCTCTTTTTGACCGCCAGCCAGGACGCTTCTGTTAATTACAGGGTGAAGGGTCCTTGGGGTCCGGGGTCTGGGATGTTTCATAAGCGGAGGAACATCTCAATGAAAACATTAACATCCCACATGATAATACTCCCTGTGTGGGTTGACTTTACATAAACAAATATCTTCTCCCATATTTTCTTGAACAAGAATATGAGTGTTGTTTAAAAAAAGCCAGCGTAACATTTGTTTTATGAAGAAGCTTCAGCCAGACGGGACTTTTCCCCCGGGTCTCCCTGACCCTTTTCTTTCTGCAGCTCCCTTTGAGGACCGCGCGACCATCAACGGGGCCACCGTCACGCTGAGGAGGGTGACCCAGGACGACGCTGGGGAGTACCGCTGCGAGATCAGCGCCCCCCTCGACGCCGTCATCCTGGGCGAGACCAACGTCACCCTCAAAGTCCTGGGTACGACGGGACGAGAAACCGCAGGGCCGCGTCGGTTTGGCTTTCCCCGCGTTTTGCTGACGTGTTCTTTGATCCCCTGTCCCGTCCCGTCCCGTCCTCCAGTGCCCCCGCACACCCCATCCTGCGAAATCCCCAGCGCGGCGGTGACGGGCTCGGTGGTGCAGATGCTCTGCAGGGACCAGCAGAGCATCCCGCCGGCCACGTACTCCTGGTTCAAGGACAGCCAGCCGATGTCGCAGCCCCGACGCGCCAACGCCACCTACCTGATCAACCCCCACACGGGGGTCCTGGTGAGGGGGCAGAAGACACGATTCCATCTGAAGAGTATTCTTCAGCTCAACCGCGTTGTCTTCTTCTCCCCTCTTCTGCAGGAGTTCAAGGCCGTGGCCAAAGAGGACACCGGGCGGTACAGCTGCCTGGCCTCCAACGGAGTGGGAACGCCCAAGATGTGCGAGGGCAAGCACATGACGATAGGTGTGTGTGTGTGTGTGTGTGTGTGTTTCGGACACGGAGGAAACCAGGGTTTCGGTGGAAGGCCGAGGTCGTAAAAAACGACCCGCACAGAGCAACTTAGAATTGCGACGGGCCGCTGTGTCCATGTAGGGACAAAAGAAACGGGCCACGCCGCTCATCTCAGTCTTTGCTCCCCCCCCCCCACAGAGGACGTCAACGTCTCGGCCGTGGTGGCGGCGGTGCTGGTGGTCTGCCTGGTGGTGGTGGTCTGCGGATGCGGGGGGTACCTCTTGCACCGCAGCGGCTTCTTCAGCCGTGAGTCTTCTTGGTTTTGTTTTTTTTATTTATTTTGTTTTTTTTTTTTATCCATCAACGCGTTTGCATTAACTCGTCCAAACTGACGTTGTGTTCGTTCTCTCCAACACGCTCCTCGCTCGTCCGTCGGCAGGCCACAGGGGAAGGTAAGCGCTGATGGTGTTAACACTGATGTGATCAAACTCAAGCTAATACCACACTCTTCAGATTGAGGAGGAGGAGGAGGAGGGTGCTTGTCTGTGTGCTGAGTCAGGGGTGTACAGTGACAGCTGTGTGTGTGTGTGTGTGTGTGTGTGTGTGTGTGTGTGTGTGTGTGTGTGTGTGTGTGTGTTTCGCTGACAGATTTACAAAAACACCTGAAACTTTTTCTTTTTTTCATTTCTTTTTCTTTTTTAATTGATCACCAATCTGTTTTAATCAATCATGTCAAAACACACCAAGACAGATGATCTCACAACGCAGACAGCTAATATAAGGGATGGGGGGGGGGCAATAATCAGTGCAACGTAATTATGGACTCATTACATCGGGGGGGATATTGGCAGTAGGAAGAAATGAACGCAATTAAACTGATTGGGTCGTCGGACGTGGATCCTCGGGACCCCCGCGCAGGGCCGGGGCTGCAGAGACTCGCGTGTTTCACTTGAGTCCCGCGTGTTGTTTTGCTGGCGGGTCATCGCGGGGCTTCTGTCCTCGAAGCTGACGCGAGAGCTCTTTGTCTCCGGTTAAAGTCTGACGCTTATCCCGCTGAGCTAACCGGAGCTGTCAGTGACTCCTCTCCTATTTATAGAGCACGGCTCCTCCACGGAGACCCAAAGGCGACACGACACGAGATCTGAGGCCGCCGATGGTTAACAAAACCACTCGCGGGTGCCTTCATTCACGCAACGACGCTGGGGGCGGATTGTTGTTGTGAAACACACGTTTTAGTTTTTAAAAGATGTCAAATATCAGTGACCGTGTCCCCTGAAGGCCGTGCGCACGTGTTATCGCGAGAGGTGTGCAAGAACCATTGTGGAGTCACGTGACTGGCTCGCCACTTGACCCTTTAACCTCCCCTGCATCCCGATTGGTCGCATGCCATGACACCCAGTGTGCATCATTTCTGTATCCCGGATGTCTCAGTACGGGACAGCCCGGAAACATACAGCGACTCCAAATGTATTTGTATTTATTTGGTTCTTTATCCATCTCACAAATAGACACACCTTTTTTTTTCGATACAGAAATGATGTGCACGGGCCCTTTGCACAGGTTTGACACGGCTAGAGTTGTGCATGGTGTGCAGTGTCACTCCAAGATGCCCCCCCTATTGTTAACCCCCGCCCCCCCCACCCCCGCAGGTCATTTTGGATCTCCCAGTGTCACGGTGCAGCCCACATCAGCAGCCAAACCCTGCACAGAACTGATGACATGTGAGTGCGACACGCACTGAAGCCACAAATAAGTCGTAACCTGTTACTGAGTCGGGAGTAAAACGCCGATACGTCCATACAAAGAGACCGCTTGCTGCATAACCTCTCTGGAACAAATAAATATAAAGTGTTTTGTGAGCTGTGTTCATTCCGAAGTGTGAATTTCACCAGATGAATGGGAGAAAGCGCATTGATTAAACGTTTTTCTACACTGGGCAATCTTTTTTTTGTTGAATTCTCACCACGAGGATCCAGATAGATTGTTGCCAATTTACAATATTTCTGAATGAATGAAAACAGTAACACGCATTTTCTACATTGAAAAACGCATCCATTTGGCTGCCTTTTTATTTTAATTAATCCCTTTTTACAGTTTTAGCCGTTATATATTATAATAGTCTTTGTTTTTAAATGTGTGTAACATTCAAATTATTTTGGCTCCATAAGCCGACCAGCAGGCCGCACCACCGAACGACATCTCACACCGTGTCCTCTCCCCTCGCTTCATACAAACGTCCCCCCCGCCCCCCCGTGGGAGGTTTGCCATGTACTGTATGAAGTGCATTATTCATGCGGGGCAAGAAATGACTCAGGATGCCGCTGTCCGCCTCCAGTGTCTCCTCGTCTCTGTGACTGTGTCAACCTGTGTCTCTGTCTTTCAGATCCAATGTCAACTACGTCCCTCCGCCCCAAGAAGTAAGTGCCCCCCCCCCTCATGGTGACATGAGCAAAGTGCTGAAGAACAAGCTGTTCATTTTTACCTAACAATTCAATGTGTGTGTGTGTGTGTGTGTGTGTGTGTCCCTCAGCCACAGGATTTCAAACACACCCAGTCCTTCATGCTCTGAGAAGCCGGCCTTCCTTCGAGAACACGTCGCCAAACATGGGACCCTCTGATTTTTTTTGGGGGGGGGGTTCATCTCCGGACGAGCTCTCAATCTTCCAACATCTTCCACCTTCCGCTCATCCCCCCCCCTGTGAGCCCCCTCTGACTGGGGGAAGGCGCCTCCTCACTCACGTCAGTGACGTGTGACTTGCTCTTTGGAGATGGAGCTCATTTTCACTGGTGTTCTGCTCCTCTCTACCTGAATCAGATGTTGAAATCCAATCAATGTGTTTGTTATGAATGATGCTTGGACAAGTGGAGTCCCCCCCCCCCCCCCCCCCCTCAACAGTGGCACAAAAATAGAAAGACAGATTTTTATTTTTTTAAGTTCTTTACAAAAATTTTTTATCCATAGATAAATATGAAAAATTAAAAAGGCACAAGGTATATATATATATGTGTGTGTTTTTGTATATATATATGTATATATATGTATATATATATTTGACAACCCCCCCCCCCCCCCCCACCCCCGCCCTGGGTTTGTGACAACATAAAACCATGGATGTATTATGTAATACATTCATTGAAAGCAGTCTGGGAGGACAGGAAGCCACTCCAGCCAATTCTATTGAGACCAACCCCATTCCACCCTAATGGGCCTGCGTGGTCTTTTCAAATATATATATATATATATATACATATATATATACACACACACGCACATTTATATATATACCTTGTGCCTTTTTAATTTGGCCAATTTATCCATGGATCACACATTTTTGTAAAGAACTTGCCTTACTTTGTCCCTGTCTTTCCAATTTTGGCCCACTGTTTATTAATGTTTATCAAACTGGAGAGTGTGTTTTAGACGGTGTGTGAATGGGTTGTTCAGAGTTTTATTTGAATGGTGTATATGTAATAAAATGTTTTTCTATTCTAAAACCTACTGGCCGTTTTTGTACTTGGATACCACTTTGATGTACTTTTACTTAACACTCAAACTCAAATATTATTGTATGATTGTTTTTTTGTTTTTTTTATCGCTGTGATACAAAACATATCTGTGTAATTCTATTCCTGAATATTTCTGCACTTTCCTAACTAGTAGTGTATTATTGTTGTATCTACACAGCGGTGTTGAATGTGAAGACAGGTGCTTATATTTGTCTTACATTTTTAGATATGTGGCTTCAATGAATGAATGAATCTGGGAAGAAGTTCTGAAAGACCAACAGAGGCTCTGAGAAAGGATACTTCATTTCCATTACCAGGTACCTTTTAATGTTGAATATTGAAAGCATTCAATACTCCTTTCTGCGGCCTCTTTCCCTTCATTATGCACAAAATGTATATACGATATGATCTATAACATGAATGGATATATAGACAGCATTTATTCTCAATACACTGTTTAAGGAGCTCATTTTTCTTTGTTGGTTTCTCATAGAGAAGATGAGACCTCCACACAGACGGAACCTGCAACAGTCGAATGACCGACTGTAATTTAGTTTTTCTGCGTCCTCTTATAGAGAAGAACCTCATCAGAAGATCCACGACAAAGGAAGACCAAGTGAGAGTAAGGAGACACCAGTAAATCTACATTTAGTCTCCATACTTTGTAAAAATACAGCACACACTAGCAGGAATGTTGTAACAGAGTATGTCAAAATACAGTAAAAGAACATCAGTGTATAGTACTGTATGTTGTGAAAAAAAGCGTGGAAATCTTATAGTATAGCGGGCCAAAAAATATTCAGTATGTTAAAAGCAAAAGCAGAGCATTTTAAATCGATTATACAGTTAAAGAGTCATACGGGAGGTATTTTAAAAAGTCATAGTCATAAAGAAACGTTGAAGCATGTTCAAAAAAGAACATAATACATACTCGAACTATGGCATGATGAAAAGCATGAATGATGTCTAAATATGTGAAAATGAATTATTTTTAAAGAACACAGTAAATGTCAGAGAGGAATCATACTAAAGTGAGGCGGACGTTTAACTACGGCATGTAGTTGAAAAAGGTCGTAGCGTAGTGTGTCAAACAGTCCTAGAATATCTTCTAACATGTGGAAAAAGTACTTAAAAAGGCATAAATAAATAAAATGCTCTTCTATTTTCATATAGAACCGCCTGTCTGTCATACAAATATAATTAAACAAATGAAGGATTAGATAAGTCATAAAACAGTGTAGTACGCCATAAAAGACACACCATGTCTTAAAAAAAGCTCATGGTATAGTATGTTATAAAGATTCATGATTATATCGCTCATCAACATTATTTTATGCGATAAATGGGTCATTAAAACATCATGGTATACTATTAAAAAATAATTTGATAAAACTACTTTATCTGGGAAAACAGACTATTTTCATTTCATAAAGGCGAGTAGAGATGGAGTGTGTGCAAATGACCCGATACTAGTGTATGAATTATTGTGTGTCTGTCCTTTATTTGAGCAGCTGGAGCACCACAGGGAGGCTCATCAAGTATCCGTATGATTAAGCATTAAATGTGTTTCTTCCTGACAGACTGCAGCTTTCTGAATTAAATTGTACACATAATTAAAGTTCTTGATGGAAATAACAGAAATTCATTCTAATAAAGATGTTTGTGTTTTTTTCTTTTGCACTTCTCCAGCTGAACGAACAAAGATTTGTTGAGGTTTGTGGGAAAATGACATAGCAAAGCTTGCTGAAAAAAGTGATATGTAATATTTTTTTAATAAAACTTTAGAGCAAGACAATATTTTTTGGGGAAAAAACTGTCAACGTGCAGTAACCAAAAAAAGTCATAATATAGCACGGTCTAAAATAATTAAGAAAGCTCAAAAAAAGTGAAAAGTGGTGATTTTAAAGCATGTTGAAAATAGAGTGAAAAACGGTAAAAAAAAACGGTGAAAAAAGTATTTTTAAAAAGCCATAGTGTAGCAGGGAAATTCAATAAATGATGTGTTAATGAACGGCTGGTGGAATAGTGCAGGGGAACAGTAGTCTCAAAGATCCAAGGTCCAAACCTGCTTTCAGAGTTTGTGGGTTTGAATCCAGTTATCGTTCTTGTATGAAATAGTTTTACAGATCTACTCACAACCTCAAGGTGAAATACGAGAACCGAAGCCAAGTGGATATAAGTGTGGTGGAATACTGCAGGAGTTTAGCACACAGGCTGCACACCCAGAATACTTGTATAAACCTACTCTCAACCTCTCAAAGGTTGTTGGTACGAGTCCAGCGACGGGCATAGCTCTGGTATTGGAAAGTTTTCAGGTTCCTCTCGAAATCTCAAGGTTAAATACAAGAAACGAGGTAATGAAACATGTGCCTAGTGGAATAGCACAGTGGTTAAACACAAGGGCTGCAGTCTTGAGAACCTGGGTTCAAAACTAGCCTGGTGACGTCAATGTTGAGTAGAAGGGATGCAAAATTGGGAATAATTGGACCTCAAGGTCATTGGAACTAGAAAGGCAGCAATGAGGTAGGTCCAATCTGCACTACGGTGTGTTGCGGTGGGGTTCTCCCCACCGGTAGTTTCGGGACCATGTGACCTGGGGGTTATGCATAAAATCATGGGGACTGGTGGTACTTTTGGAAGATTCATCTTTGTAAAACTATGTACAAATATATTAAGTTCCTTTGCAGGTCTAGGAGCACTACTGACTCACTGACAAGCACGAGGTCCTGCTGGGTTACTCAATTCCTGTAATGCTCCTGCACGGGCTTAGGCCCCTAGGACGACCCTAGTTTACTTGTGCAAAAGGATCAAAGCTTATATCACTTTCATTAAGCGCAGCCAGTGAAGCCAGGATTTACATGCTCACCCTCTCTTGCCAGAGTGAGCCCAAAAACTAACCGGGGGGGGAAAACCTCCACCCACAAACACACGTCATGCCGCATGGTACCCACCACCATAGCGCCCGTTTTATTTTCCATTACCTTTAAGGGCGAGGCATTACCCCAATTTTGCATCCCTTCTACTCAACATTGATGTCACCAGGCTAGTTTTGAACCCGGGTTCTCAAGACTGCAGCCCTTGTGTTTAACCCCTGTGCTATTCCACTAGGCACACATTTCATTGGCTTGTTTCTCGTATTTAACATTGAGCTTTCGAGAAGAACCTGAAAACTTTTCCATACTCCTGAGCCAGGACTTGAACCTACAACCTCTGAGAGGAGGATTAAACTGAAGTGCTCCTAGACTGCAGCATGTGTGCTAAACCTCTGCACTACTCCACCAGATACACGTTTCTTAAGTCTCACATTTGACCGTGCCACACTTTCGAAGCCATAATGTAAGTATTCAGCAGGCTTGAACGTGAGAAGTTCTAAAGTGCAGCCTCTGTGCTTAACCCCTGCACTGTTCTACCACAAGTACCACCAAAGCTTTGTTTCGTGTATTTCACCTTGAGGTTGTCAGGATAACCTCAAAACTAACACGTTCACTAAGTTCCTCACCTGGGCTTGATCTTACAGTCTTCAGTTTTGAACTGCATCCCTTCTACATTCCACCTGCGCTATTTCACCACACACTCAACGTGTTACTTTCATGTACGTAATCCTACACAATTATGATGTAAATTAGTTAACTGACTTCAAAGGTCGCTTAATAAAGCCACAGAATAGCATGTCATAAAATGCCTAAAGAGTTCATGGTATAGCATGTTGTAAAAAGTGTCATAGTATGTCAAAAAAGGTCATAGGACTGCATGTTAAAAAAAAAGTTACAACCTCAAGGTCAAACACAGGAAACGGAGCATCATAGATAAGCTCATTGTTCATGTGCTTCCTACAGAGGCGAGGTGCTTGTTGACAAGTCAGACGCACACAGAGAACAACGTGTGTGTTTGCTGGTGACTCAACAGGTTTGTTGACAACACAAAAGGAGAGTTGGGTTCATAAACTATAGGCTGGTCTTTTTCAACGTCACTACCATGACGGTTTTCACAGATTCAACATGCTACACCGTGTTTTTTTCCCCCACGTAGCATATTTTTATACTGATTTACTGACTTTCTTTTGACTCAATTAGAATATGATTCTTTTTAGATTTTCCAGAAGTTGAGAATGGCAAGAACTGGACTTTACATGTGAGCATCTTCTCCAAAGTAAAACGTTACAGACGAACAGGTTATGACACGTTTTTATAGTATAACCATGTTAATTTTGGAAGTATGCGGTTACTGGTTTCCTAAAGAAATGCTGTTGATCACAGTTCATTCTTGATTTATAAAAGGCGGCAATTGCGTTTTCACAAACGGCCAGGAAAAGCGTGGATATCTTTCTTCCCGTAATAAGTGAAATCATTTAAAAAATGCAAATGCAAAACAATGACAGTCCCACCGAGCTTATATTTACTTAGTAAAGTGCAGAATGGCTAAATATCCGTGGACAAAAATAAATATAGGCAGAATTTGGAAAAAGACTTCCATATTTCCCACAGATCAAGCCGGAGAAGGTGTGTACTGTTATCCAAGCTTCACCTCCCTTTATTGACATTTTGTTGTTGCCTTTAATGCATTTCCACCGCACATACAACAGCATGCGACTTCCAACAGCTAATGACAGGCTGTGTATTGTGGTTCAATCCATTATCTTTTTATTAAATACAACATATTTGTGACATGTAGGAGATATACAACATGGACAGCATTCACTTGGCCAGCTCATCGAACTTGGGCTCTGGAGAAAATAAAAAGTGAACCGTTAGTGATTGTTGTTGGTCTGTTAAAACAGACATAACAGCTGTACGAGACAATACAACAACTTGAAATTAGATTAGAACTCTAAACTACAGCAATAAAGTAGCAACTAGCGAGATCAATATTCAATAATACAGTCTTGACGGGAGGGAACGGTTCTCAAATCTCAGTCACGTCCAATTAAGCACATTTTATGTCAATTCCAAAGCTGTGCCAAATCACTATTTAGGCTATTAACTGCAAACTATTTTTTATTATCCATCAGTCTGCATTAGAACAGTTGGGGAGCAGACTGTTTGGCTCACAAAAACACTCACAGTACACACTGTAAACTGACCTGTGAATTTAATTTCAGGAAACTTGGCCATGTCGCCTCCGCCGTAGAGCCTCTGCAGTTTGGTTACCTCATCAGACAAGTTCTTCTGGTAATCTGGTCCGGAATCCACGATGCCCCCAGAAGACCTGGGAGAGCAAAAGCACCAAATTACATTCCACAGATGAGCATCACCGCGCAGTGTAGGAGATGCAAATCCGTAAGCAGCACGGACTCCAATCCGATTGCAGGTTTTGAAATTCTGGGCATATACCAAAATGATTTTGTTGTCGTTCATGTCTGGTTGAGCAACCGACTGCAGCACGAGCTGCACGCTAAGGAGGGAATTCTGAGTGCTTCATCATCTCTTGCTCAAACAGAGCATAGCAACCGTTGTCATGCCCGAGTCTGTCCAGCCAGTGGCTTCTCCAATGAATGAGCAGCTGGATTCTGCTGATCGAGACCAGCATGAAATGACCAACACATAAGATCAAATTGGCTAAACCTTAGTGGCCAACAGGGCCATAATAGCAAACGTAGCAAATATTTGCTGATAGATTGGTCGACATGCAAAACGATTCTTCCCTTCTATCTGGACTCAGTTTGGACACGTTTCACAGGGATGACGTTGAACAGAAAAGTGTTTCATGTCATCGACTGACTTGCTCTTGGTCGTGTAGTCCCGGATCTTGTCCAGGAACAGTTTCTGGACCGGGTCGAGCTCCTTGGTGCGGTTGAAGACGACCGCAGAGAGGCCGATGTTCCGGCGCAGGGTCAGGCTCACGGCGGAGCGCAGCACGGAGGACAGCTGGAACAACCGATGGAGTGCCATCTGAAAGGAGATTCAAAAGAAGAAAAAAAAAGCCCACCGGTTACGTTGTGCTTGGCAAAAGAAAACGGTTAGCTAACGTTAGCTAGCATTAGGAAATATCTGCTAACGTAACGTGTTAATGAACGACGTGAATCCTATAAGATAAACGTAATACCGTTAACATTAGCACTAGCATTGCTAACGTCCCAACTAACGTTAGCTAACGCTAGTTAGCGGAATGACTTTGAATTGGCCATCAACGTCACATTACTTTCCAAGTGCCCCGTTATATTGCTATTTATAACACCTAACGTTACACAACTATTGAGTTGTCACAACGCCATCTCCCAAAGTCGTTTTTTAGTGGACCTTTGATCAGTTGGCGTTAGGTTAACTCACGTTAACGCTAAGCACTTGCTAATGCTAACAGGCTAAGAAAGCTTTAGTGTTCAAGCGTCCTCCGGTGTCCACAGTGCTGCAGAAAGTCATGGCAACGTAATACTCAGTGAAGATAATAACTGCACATACTGATGAAAACGTGTCGTTACGACAAACGGGGCAGAGTTGAACGTCTAATAGAATTTAAAACACTTGAGACGTTACTCACCTTGGGTTTGACACTTTCAGTACAGGATCCAAATGTGGGTTACCGCGGTGGATTGTGGGAGAGTTGTAGTGTTCGGAGACGTCAACACTGTGCCTCCTTTGCGCAGCAATGCGCATATTTAGGTTGAGCTTAAATGACATTTTAATGACAATGACCAATTATCCAAAATCGCTCAATGTAAAATATACGATTAATTAAATTACATTTTAACATGGTCTGTTTCTGTTTGACTTGAGATAATCACACCAGGACGAACAGTATTGGGGTTTTATTAAACAGTGGAAAACCGTTTTACTTTTGTAAATTTGAATTAATTAATGTTAAATTGTAATGATCTAAAACCAGTTACTTCTACTGCATGCCATTTCCTTTGTGACTTGCTTAGGGGCACATTGGCAGGATGTGATCGTAAAGTAGATTGCAGTTCTTTCCCCGGATCAGAAGGGGGGGCATGGGCAATCTTAAACGGGTGTTTCGGAGGGGGTTCACACAAACATGGGTCAGAAAGCCCTCTATTGTGTCCTTGAGAAATACACTAAATACCTGTCCAGTGTGCAGTTTATGTCAAAGACTGACTGAACATGTTTCTTTAAAAGTATCCCATTAATATCTTTAGATATTCATAACCAGGGATTAACACACAAAACTAGCAGATAAAACAGGATGCACAAAAATAGAATGTGTGTATTAGCCATAACACAAAGACGGCGTTTGTATGTACATTCAAAACTTTATTATGGAATACAGTGTAGAAAGCATTTTCCAGTCAATGCAAATGGCCTGCACAATATTACACAATGGAAAACAAAACCAATATATAACCCACAGAAGAAAAAAAGAAAGAAAATCCTGCTTCCTCTTCTACTCTACTGCCCTCTGTTGGGCTTCTAATGAGCACAATCTGAAAACCAAGGACCCTCCCCACCGTAGCCTCCATATGACCACCGTTTCCCCACAGATGTTAATGCATTAACAGAGTGGGAGGTGACTGTATGATGATGTCATGTTGAGATGGCAACAAACCTTGAACTTGAGCTGACTGAATGAAGATGAACGTTTCCTCCCTACTCTCCCATCCTTGCCTCCCACCTCCTCTCTAGCGTTCTTAATGGTGAAAGCCCACCACCTACATACATGGGACTTGTGCATTGCCTCCGAGGAGTCAAGTGCGCGTCGATGGCGGAGAGGTGAGCAGCATGCCTGGAAGGAAAGGAGGTGCTGGGGAGTGAAAATCCATTACACACACACACACACACACACACACACACACACACACACACACACACACACACACACACACACACACACACACACACACACACACACACACACACACACACACACACACACACACACACAAGCTGGCCGGCCATCCGTCTGGAACTGCAAGTCATTCCTCTCTAGCTCGCCCAGTTTCCTCCTCCTCCTCTCATGGCTCCACTCGCTTTACCAAACCAAAAAAAATAGCTTGCGTCGGCTTATAACTGGACTTAACACCAGACTGAAGAGTGACAGAGCAGACACGCAGAGATAATTCAAACCCATCCCCCACGTCGGACACCTCGCTTTCTCCTCTTTACACGTCCCGCTCCCTGTAACCTTCACCCCCACAACATGCCCCTTTCCAGAAACAAAGCATGATCAAAAATAAAAAAAAACAAAAAAAGCATAAAATAATATATTTTTATATACGGGGTTGATTTCGGATGTGCATGAGGATTTTTAACAATATATTTCAGTGGATGAGAATATACAGAAACAGAGATGAAGCCAGCCCCCCCCTCGTGCAGCTCCGGGAACGTAGCATTGTTTAAAATAAAAACAAAAAAACAGCTGATTAAAACGTAAAAAGACACGAGGAACACACTTAAATTCCAAAATCACAGATCTCTTTTAAATGTGTATTTTACATGATATCAAAGCAGAGCCCGTTCATCTAGATTTATATATATTTTTCATTGTTTGAAGTCACGTGATCACGAGAAGATACTAAATGTACAATCTTGCTAGAATGACAATCTATACGTGGGAGAGAGCAGCATTAAGATCTTTGTTTTTTTTATATTTTTTCTTCCAAATCCTGTTGTCATTGATGTCATGCACTACATAGGAACAGCTACGACTTCAGCATTACTTCAGTAACATTACACGCAATTTAAAAAAAGGACTTTACATCGGTTTCACTTTTTTTTTTCTTCTTCTCGGTTTTCATTCTTTTTTGAAAAACAAAACTGGAAACGAAACAAAAAAAAAAAAAAACTAAAATAAAAAACAGCTCATTCAGAATACACAATTATCCTCGTCGTCGTCAACATATTCATTATCATCAGCTTCTCCACATATCCTTGGGAGCCTTTTGTGACTTAACACATTCCAGCCATTGTAAGAATGCATAAAGAAAAGAGGATGGAGGAGATGGAGGGAGAGGAGGGGAGGGGAAGGAGGGGATACTCCAGTGTAGACTGTCGAGGGAGTGCAGTAGCGGGGCAGTTAGTGGGGAAACACTGCACCTGATTTAGAACAATGGTGCTGTTGCCCGATTTGATTTTTAAATGCTAACACTGCAAACACTTTTTCTAAACGAGGCCCAGGGTCAGCGTGCGCCTAAAATCTCACTGGTCAGATTTTTCTACACAAATCCACACCTAAAACCGTCCCACGGCAAACAAAAAAACCCCAAACTGATAATACACTGGCCCTGAATCAGCGTGGCGAGAAAGCGATTCCGCCCCCGAAGAGAGGGCTGGTTTTAGTGCGCCGGGCGGGGCCTTTCTGCTTTCCTTTCGACAGCGGGCACCAGGCGGAGCAACGTGCAAAATCGCCTGATTCTTTTAATCAAAAGGGCGTCTTGCTCCGGTAAACTGAACAGGAACGGTGCAAGCGGGCTCGAGCACGCTGTGTCCGCCCAGGCAGAAATGAAAGAAAACCCCCGGCTACAGTCGCTCAATGATCTAAGCCCCACTGGCTCTGTGGAGACGGGGAGGGGTATTTGGGGTGGGAGATTGGGGAGGAAAGGGGAGGGGAGGTGTGTAATGTGTGGGAGCGAATGTCTGTGTGTGTGTGTGTTCTATGTGTGCCGTGAACATGAGACATTCCCCTCAGTTCTGCATCTGCTCGAAGAACTTGTAGGTCGGGTTCTCGTAACCGTTCTGTTGCATCTTGGAGAGGTGGCGCTCCTCTGGGGTGACGGCAGCGTCCACCTGGAGGGGAGCCAGAGAGAGAGAGAGGGGGTTAAACATGGCAGGCGACGAATCGGTAACTGGCATTAATCCCATCACATTTACTTAGCTAATTGCAGAGTGCACAGCACCGTCTTAGCCTGACAATTTAAAGCCCGCTTTCAAACTCCCACACACCCGATGCACGCCGCACGAATGCACACACTCAATACTGGAGGGCAGCTTGCGCCGGCGAGTGCACGAATGTGCACGGGCGGCATCATCCCCACACGCCAGATTGACTGGAACAGATTGCTCAGAGCGCACGAACCAACAAAAAACACACAGGTCAGCTGCTTCTCACCTCGATGACTCCGTGGTGGATGGAGGTGTACTGCTTCTTCCTCAGCATCACCAAGGTGATGACGATCACGGTCGCTATGACGACGCCCCCAACCATCAGGCCGATGATGGCGCCCTTGTTGGAGCCCACGTCCTCTGCGAAGAAGACCTGCGGGGAGTTGAAGGACAGATCGTTTTGTAACTCGGGTCGCACGGACCAACCCGGACCAGCGCGATTGTTTTCTCAGAGAGCTCTGAGGCGATGGAAACCCTGTGCTAAGCAATGAGTAATGAGTGTGGTTGAAGCACAGCCGGGCCTGAGAGCTAATTGTGCTTTCGAATGCTTTGCATGCCGCTTCTCCCAGAGATCCAGATCACGTTGGAAATAGTTTGTTTCACGCAGATCCGGAAAGAAATAAGAAGCAGATGGCGGCTTCACGAAGGAGGAAAACAACTCCCGATATCTGCACCTTTGCTGACGCCAGCAGGGAGAATCGGACGGAAACCTTCACCACCACTAAACTGTAGATAATCTTAGAAAAACAACTCGACTTGGAAACACTGTCACCACTGATGGCGTCAGTCACACCGCAGTGAGTGTGGACTTAATTTCAGACTGGAGCGCCTCCTCCAGATAAACCCTGCGGAGCGCTGATTGGGGTTACGTGAATATACAATTCAGGAGTTGCCTCAAGGAGGCAGCCTCACACACTGGCTGCTCGTTGTTAATGCAACGTGATATGTAATAAAATGTAGGGATTAAAGAGATTACGGCGTTTAGGTAAGAGGAATAAGGTACGCGGATTTGGATTTGACAGAAGACCGATTGAGGTTTTTGTGCTGGTATTACAATACTGGATGGGATTAATGGATGAATGCAGAACTGGGTTAGCGAACAGGGATTTCTCAGCACCTGTGGACACCCAGAAAAATACATAAAACACACACACTTAACTGTGATCACACAACATTGGAATTTAGGGAGGAGCGGAAGTGTGACGCATGCATTATCTCCATGGCAACAACCTTGGGAGTTTACCTTGAAGACAGAGCTGACAGATTTACCAGACGGCAAAAAGGGGGCAGGGTGCAAGCTTGCGAGGGTCAGTAAATTCCTTCACGTGTCTGTGTGTGTGTGTGTGTCGCTGTCTGTTTAGTCTGCAGACACAAGTGAATTTCTGTACCAGTTTCTGGTGGTGAACTTCGTATTCGGTGCTCTGCCTGTTCTCCGTCTCCATCCGCAGCTCAGGTACGGCGTCCATCTTCATTCCGGTCACTGGCAAGGAGAGGAAAGAGGCCATCTATTATGGATGGCGACACTCGGCTGCTTCTTACTTCTCAAACTGTAACAGCGAGTTGAATACAGCACCGATCAACCGTGTGCCTGCATCACACGTCGAGCAACCACTGCCGGCGCCTTAATGGAGGTCAAGTAGAGTTGGCCGTGTGCAAACAATGGGGGAGAGATGGAATAAAAATACTGTGATGGCTTCAAAGCGGCCTTTTAAGAGGAGACATTGTGTAACCTGAGGAGAAATCTCTTATTACGAGCCTGGACTGACACAAAGGAATACTTCTTGTTTTTCACGTGCAAATTACCAACATTTACTGTTTCCATGATCGTCAGCAGCCCAGATGTGATTCATTTATTTAGGGTTAATAATTGAATAATTCACTAATACTTTTCACTGCAGTCAGCAGCCACTATTACTGAGCTTTTGGTTTGTCAGGCTGTGAAAAACACATTTAGCTGTGAGCTCTGATAAGCCAATAAAAGAAATCATTAGGTTACACATATTGATAAGGTGAGTAATAATTAACTGATGGACACTATTTGAGCTAGTAGCTTAATAGGTGGACGGGGTGCAACAGAGCCAGCAGCAACATGTCAAAATACAGGTTCGGTAAGGCGGTGAGAGAACGACTGTATTCCTGAGAAACTCTCAGTGCATCGGTTTGGAAAGGCTCACAAACTACAAGCCCAAAAAAACCCACTCCATGGATGACCTCCACCTGGCAGACGAGCGGAACGAGTTCTACTGCAGATTTGATAGTCAATGTCTTGACTCCACCACCCACCTGCCCCAGACCCCCACCCCTCCCTCGTCGGGCTCATCAACAGAGCCCGGGTCCCCCGCTGACTGGCTCTGACATCCCTCTCCACCGCCCTTCACACTCCACAGGCACTTTTCACCTCAACTCATCAGTTCCTGCTCGCTGGCCCACTTTATTTTTAAAAAGTCAAATTCCTTATATGTCTGACATATTTTGGTATTACATTTTAAATACACATTCATTCTTATCGGGGGACTTTTTGGACAATAGTACCAACCTGGCCGTGTAGGAATGCCCCTGTCAAGACTGGGGCGAGAGTCCACTGGCTCGACTGGAGAGAGAAAAAAAAAATCAGTGTCGTTTTAAAAAAATCCCCTTTTAACTTAAATGAAAGCGACAACCTGGTGCTCCAGTAAGTACCCTGGTTCTCAGTGTTGGGCTGGTTGAAGCTCTCGGGGTGGATGAAGCCGACCCCTCCCAGGCCGAGTGTGTCCTCCCGGGCCAGCAGGTCGGTCTGGCCGTCCCCAAACTCCTGATTGGGCATCAGGGCGTCGTTGCCGTAGCTCACCCTCACATCCGTCTGAAGGTTGGCCAGCTGCTGGGCCATCTCCGTCTGCTCCCTCTGCAGAAGCTCTGGACGGAGGCAGGAAGGTAACGGGAAGATCAGCGAGCACATTAGAATTGAAAATCAAAGGAGGAAGGAAGGAAGTTTCACTTCATCTGCCAAACGTCTTGCACCTTGTAAGTTTAGACATAAAACCCTCCATTAAAAAAAACACGTTAAACTAAAGAATCATTTCTATGAGTGCTTTCTTTTTCTCCATAACAGAACCCAATGAACTGTTACTTTATCAGGAGCGGCAGACAGCCTTAAAGAAATGTTATGGAACACTGTGCTTCTGTGTGTGTGTGTGTGTGTGTGTTCCTGTGTGTGTTTTGCCGGGGCAGCACAGACTGAAAGTCTCCGATAAAGAGACACAGATGCCTGCGTGACGCACGCAACTCCAATAACCTGAAAACCCCCGGAAACCATAGCAAGTGCTGGCCCCCGAGGGGGGGGTAGGGGGGGGGGGGGCAGAGGGGCTTTATCCACCCGGCGAACAGTTCATTTGACTCTGAATAGAAGAATAAGGCCAGATCGCTCCAATGCCCTTAGCAACACACACAAATATGCACATTTCTAGGGGAGTTGGAATTTAGAGATCCTGTTTTTGTGCGACGCTTTGGAGCGAAAGCCGAGACAAACTCACCGACTTGGTCCTGGATGTCGTCGGCCACGCCGGGCACCTTGTAGAGGAGTCCCAGGGACTGGTTCATGCGCTCCTCGATGACACGCAGGTGGGTCAGCACCTTTTATACACGCAGAAACACAAAGTAAACACACCGCTGCGTCCGCCTCGTCACCGCCCGGCGAATTGAGGTGAAATGTTGGCGCTACCTGAGGTCTGATCTGGGCGGCCTTCTTGGGATCCACCATGCGCACGTGTTCAAAGTGTTTGAGGGTGTGCTGCCGGTCCTTCTGCTCCGCGCGCACATACTTCTTCAACAGGCTGAAGACGTGGCGAGGCTGCAAGAGACGACGGCGACGGATGGTTATGAGCAAAGTTACTTCATACATTTATCAAGTTCAGCCTCGAGAGTCCATTGTTTACACAGCGGCACAACAAAATGGACAAACGTAACACAAACCGAATATTTATCCATGTTTTTAAGCAGGTCAGACTCCACTATCTCCCTCAACCACCCTGCTGGCTGTCAGCGTACCCTGGGGGAGTCCTGCTGCAGCGCCGTCAGGTAGCTCTCCAGAGCCAGGCGGCGGCGGTCATTCAGCAGAGCCTCCACCCGAGCCATGTGAGTCTCCACCAGCTGCTGCCGCTCGCTGGCCGCCTCCTGTTCCAGGGCCTCCACCTTCTCCTGGAAACGCTGCACACATTGCAATATAATGGGTGTAAAAAAAAAGAAAAAAAAGGAGAGGGACACAAATAAGGTGGACACATCTCCTGTGGGTGGACCGCTTACCTGGATGACGGCCTTCTTGTCAGCGCGGGGAAGGTTCTTAGCTTCCCTCTCGGCCTCCTCCCACTCTCTCATCACCTGGGTGCAACAAGGGGCAACGTGTCAATTTGCGTTTACTGCTGCATCACAGGTGATATTACAGCTAAAATAAATTAAAATGTGTTGCGTCGAACTAAAAAATGCCATTTCTGGTTTGTGGAAAGAAAAACATTTTCCCCAGAGGGTTGAAATAGCGGCGTGTTTGCTTTTTGAATCATGAGGGGGATTCACGTCTTAGGTCAAAATGCAATGTGATGAAAAAGTCCCAAATACACGGTTTCTGTTCCTGTTTTTGATCAGCTGTGTCCCTTCTGACTCACCGGGTAAATTCCTCAGTTCAACCCGGGCCAAACCACACGCGTAAGGAGGAAGTCAACTGCGTGGAATCAGATGATGCCGTGGCTCTCGCTACGCTCTAGCTAATCTGGAGCAGCGCAAACTAAGCCAGCTGTTTAATTGCCACTACGTTCTTAATGCTCCTTATCATGCGGCGCTCTGCCGCAGCGCGAGACAGTTGATTGAAGAACACAATAAGTAATAATAATAATAATAATAAGTTTAATTGGCTCGGTCAGCTTACCCAACAGGGATTTTAAAAAACGCAAACGATTTGTTTCTACTTGACACACCATCTCTCCCTTCTTTCCTTATTCGATTCATCAGAGGGACGACATCTTTGTGCTCGATCTCAACAAGACAATGTTTTTTTCTCTGTTCTCCCTCGTTAGCGGCCGTTACGCGGGGACTGCGGATGAGCTTTCAGTGCACTCAACACAAAATCCTCCCTCATCTATTCCCTTCCTTCCTTCCTTCCTTCCTCTCCGCCAATACCTGGGACATCCTCTCGCGGTGCTTGGCCTCAAGGCTCTCTTTGGCCTTCTGGAAGTGGGCGTGTTCGTTTTCATCAGCAGGCGTCTCCAGGTAGTAGTCCACGGCGTCGGGGGAGCTGGGCGTGGCTGTGGGTACTGCACGAAACGAGGGAGAGAAAAAAGGGGAGGCGAGAGGATGAAGAGGCGTCACCTTTTTACCACACAGGGCCCGAACGGGGTTAACAGGGTTAGCGTGAGTTCGGAGTGGGGGGGGAGAAGATAGCAGCTGTGGCTGGAAGCCAGCAGCCTCCAAAAAGCAGACAAATGAACGCTTCAGACGAGCCGCAGTCTTTTGTGGCAGAGGGACAAAACCCATCTCCCACTTATGTAACTTCATTTCAGCTCTCACGCCAACAACACGGGAGCTGGAATTTCTCCTCTGGGCCCAAAAGCACCGACCGGATTTTGGTCGACTTACCAACCGCAAAATAGAAAATGGAGCACATAAAGCGTGAAACCTTGATTTGGATCCGCTGATTAGTTTCCACATGTATGCTATCAAAAGTGTGTGTGTGTGTGAAGGTCGCACGTCCTGTGAAATCGGTTATGTCTGAGCGCACAAGACACAAAAGACAACGGAGAGATGTTATTCACTTCGACCCGAGCCGAGCGCTTTGTAAGCCTCCGGTTCTCGAAAGCCTCTAAAAAAGGATCAGTTCTCCCCAATTAGGATTTCTCGCCCTTCCTCTGGTGGGATCACGCAGATCATTTGGGGTTTCATCATTGCGGATTTAGAGACGTCCGTCTCCGTCCATCCACTTTCCAAGTGAGTTCAATACTCGTGTCCTCGCCTGTCCGGAGAATCCCATTAACACGCTGTAAACTGCTTTTTATAGGACTTGATTCTTTGGCGGAAAGTAATGAAAATTGGTCGAGATAGCGGAGCGTTACGCCGGCGCTTTACTTCTGCAATCTGTATTTAAACCTGTAGCTCATCCATTCCGTTCAGCGGGACTCTCCCCGAGCGCGGCGTCATCGCTCTCACTAAGGGGAGAAACACGTGACCAAACTCTTAGACAAACCAAGACAACAGCTTTTCCCGGATGAAGATTGTGTTAGTTTCACAAATTTAAAACAGTACTAGTCGCACTTAGGCTGTGAATGACACCGGCAAGCTCAAAGTGTGTGTTTTTGGGGCTCGTGTTTTGTCGTGTTGGAAATTACACTGCAGCACTTTCTCGCCTCCGTTTCACTCAGCAGGGCAGAAATCCCACACCGAAGCGCACAAACACTATCCCACCTCAACACGCACCGCGGATAAAATTAGATCACGCGATAGGGAGATGGAGATAACGTGAGTCCATTTTGCTGCAGGGTAAATGGCGGACTTCCTGACTGAGACACACACGCACATATAACGCAAGGTCACTGAACCTTACGCAACACTAAAATCAGCATCAGAGCCAAATACTTAACCTGCCTTCTGCTCTCCATCCACACAACCCCCCAATGCACACAGACTCCTGGCAATGAGAAAAAAAAAGATAAAACGTTGGAAATCAAAGACTGAGAAATACCTAAAGAAATACCTATAGCAACACGGTGTGAAAACGTACTCATTTTCAGCACCACTGCCGATAATCAGCACAGTGACGTAGAAGGCAGGTATGCAGAACTGTAATGAAGAGTCGGGGACTTTTTCCTTGTCGCTCCCGTGAAGGTTTTGCATTTTTTAAAATTGCTTCAGGGTAATTTGACATCCGACTGAAGTGAATGTAATGAATTAACCAGAACCTATATTTCTGTAGTAACAAATGTGGATTGCTTACATTATGTAAGAAAGCCTGCAGCACGTCAGGGATGAAAGGCACTGTGTGCAGCGAGGTGAGGATTATCGCCAAATAATTCCTGCCTGGATGGGTTTAAAGCTCCTATTCCAGTTAAAGAAATATAGAAATGTCTGCCCGTGAAATGACTGTAATCATTGAAATGACGTTGGAGGCTGCAGGACAACAATGATGTTCCCGTGGCTAGAAAAAGTGTCTTTGACAACGGTCCATGAAAAGGAAAACGCTGTAGTCGCAGCGTAGAGTTTTCACAAATATGTTTCAACGGAAATCAATTCAATCCAAATCTCAAATATCAAAACTCGTTCGCTGAGGATTCATGGGAAGCCACGTTGCGAATTCTTGTTCACCGCTTTAGCTCAAACATCTCCAGCTCTGTAAACGGATGTAGGTCCAGCAGTCCGAAGAGAAATGCATTTCCAAATAGAAAGATACCGGCAACAAGCAGAGCGTCACAGCGAAGGAGAAAAGGCAAAGTACAGACGATCGAGTTGGAGCTCTACAAGGGATTAGTCTGTTTTTAGTGCAAAGACATTTATTTGTGACAGACAGACGGCGGAGAAAAGGTTACCCGGGAATGAAGCCGACAGGCAAGGAGCGTCTGGGAGGGAAACACACACACACACACCGAGCGTCCGGCGGCCAGTGGACGGCTCGGAAAGACGGCGAGTAAAAGCGAGGGTTAGAGACAAAAACCGGCTGCGGTTTGGCCGCGGTTGAGGGGGGGGGACTTACTGACGCTGCTGCAGACAGACAGGCAGTACTCCTCTGAGTCAAAGTTATTCCTGTTGCCTCCGCAGCCGCCGTAGATAAACTGAGCACAGCGCCCCTCCTGGTGGTCAAAGAACCAGCGGGACAGCATGGCCCGGCACGGACCGGTCTCCGCATTGGCCCAGCACACATCTTGGAGGACAAACACATATACATACACACTCCGTCATCTCTCATGAAGCAATAAGGGGCCACTAAAGCTCGCCATACTCCATATGCAAGCGCCTCAGCGCTCTGTCGGGGTTGCGTGAAGAAAAACAAAAACAAAAAATCTCAAGTCTACTCACTTGTTAAGCACGGCACTTTAAGTCCAAGGACACGTTGAAATCAAAAGCTTCGTGTCACGTACAGGGATGTGTGAGAACAGTCAGGTTCAAATGGAACACTAAAATGCCGAAAAAAGAAGCCAGAACAACCCGTTCTGGCAGTAATGGAACGTAGCTGATGCAAGCGCTGAAGTGATGGATGAGCGCAGTGAGAAAAATGACATACGGGAAATTAATTGGTGGGGAACGAGGAGTTCAATTATGTTAAGCAAAGCATAAAAATAATAGTGGGAAGCATGTTTTGTACGTTGTACTACTCAGCTTTTTCTAATCTGAAGGAAAGAAACGGGTCATCAAATTAAAGTGACAGTTCACCGCAAAATAAAATAAAACATTTTTTCTAGTGCTATTCAGACTTTTTCAATAACCTCCATGATAATGAGGATAGGACGAGATTTATTTTTAACAAAAGATGAGAACAAGAACCAGACACTCGTCAGAAATGCTCCTCACCCCTGACAACCTCTTCCACAGACTCCGTAGTGGTGGTAGTGGTGGTGGTTGTCATGGCGACATTGGTGGTGGGCTCGTCGTCATCATCATCGTCGAGCCTGTCGACAATATCGTCCTCGTCGTCATCATCTCCGTCATCTCCCTCCTCCTCCTCGACCTCCTCCTCCTCTTCCACCACCTCTTCATCCTCCTCTCCGTCTCCATCCTGGTCGTTATCCAGCACATCCTCTTCCTCCTCCTCTTCCTCGTCATTTTCCTCAGCCACCACCTCCTCTTCCTCCTCTTTATCCTCCTCATCCTCTACCACAGATGGTCTGGCTTCTTCTTGCTGCTCCGCTGGCTCTGGCTCCCGCACCATACTGGGAGGGAAGCAGAGATGGAGAGAAAAGGGGATGGAAGAGGGGGAGGGGGTGGAATCGGGAGAGAAATGTAGGTAAGGGAGCAAGGTGACATGTGGAGAGAACAAGAACAAATGGTGGACGGGGAGGTGAAGGAGCGAGAGGGATGAGGAATTAAGGAAGATAAAGTGGATAAATGTAAAGGAAGAAAGAACAAAGACTTTAAATTACAGCACTTTGCTTCCAAGGAGAGAAATGTATCGTCGTGGCAGAGGTTGGAAATGAAAGTGGCAGCATCTCTGATCATCTGAGCGCGGATGCACGACTCCCCGCTGCCTTGCCCTCATCTATTGGTGCATGCGCCCGTGTGTGTGAGTGAGAGCGTACCCGTTGTCGGAGTAATCCGTCTCCGCCCCGCCCCACCACACGTCGGAGTCATCGGCGTCCCGCTCGGCGCTGTCGGCTTCGCGCTCGGCCTCGGCGGGACAGCACACAAACTCCACGCCGCGGAACCGGTCGATGCCGCACGGCAACAGCATCCCGTAGTCGTGGAGATTCATGGTGCGGTCTCCGCAGGACTACGCGGAGGACACAGACACGGGACGGCTCAGTGGCGGCTCCTGGCGAGCGGCGCGCCAGCAGCGCGGGGACAGGCGTGCACTCACCTCCTTGGCCACGGTGTGCCAGTGCAGGTGGCTCTCACACTGGTCCATACGCTCCTGGTGCAGGAACTTGCACTTGTCAGGAACGAGCAGGGCGTCGCTCACAAACTCTCCGACTGCAGCGAAAATATAAACCACAACATCCACGTTCATAATTCCTACACATCATCACATCCTCCACATTTGACTGAAGACTCATTTCTACCTGGCTCCTGTAAAGCATATCTGACTCCTAACTCCTTTTGTTGCCATGGTAACTTTGATAAACTGTTCCGTTTCTGCTAAATATTGAACGTTAGCTTCCCAGAAATGCTCCCACGCGTGTGGGACTCACCCAGGCAGCGGTAGGGCACCACGATGTGGATGTGACTGCGGCACTGCTTGCGCCCCTTCTTGCACCAGTTCTGGATGCTGATTGGCTGGTTGGCCTCCACCACATTGGTGATCTGGAGCTCCGGGTACACCTACGCACACAGCATTATACGTGTATCAAACCGGACAGAGCTGAAGGCAGGCAGAGTTTCAGTTGTCCCCAAATATTTCGCTAGGTCTTCTTTTTTTGTTGCAGCATTTCAATGCTTGCCAGACTTGGCTGTGTTTACCTCTACGTTCATTTCAGCCAATGCATGACATCTGCCTCTGCACAGTATTCACAGGCGACGTGTCAACCCTTCGCCAAACGCTTTCTCCATCGCGACACCCCCCTCCCACGCTTCCTCTCCTCCTGTGCTGCTCCAAACGCACAGGAAAATCAGAAGAACTCCGTCGTCTTCTTGGTTTAGTTTTAAAAACTGAGGTTCGATTATTTTCTTTTTGATATTTGAAACAGAAAGAAAATAGTGAAACAATCTGGACCGGCGGCTGATCCAGCGAGCAGCTGTTTGTCATCACTGGATTTGTTGTCGGCGGTAGCAATAAGGGGCTCGTCTTCCTTTTGGTCCATGTCACATGCTTCTCTGAGAGCACAACCTCTGCTTATCACTCAACTCCCTTCATTTAATTTTCTCAAGTAGTTTTCAAGTATTGAACTTGTGGTGGAAGGCTCTCTCTGGCTGAACGACACTGAGGTTCACTGTGTTGCATTTGGTTAGCTTAACGCTGCCTAATTAAAAGCCATCCGGGGAATTTTAAGTTAAGTAACATGTACTTAAGCAGCTTGTTTATTTGAGCCACGTTTCAGCATCATGTCATCCTGCCAAATTGGGGATTTTGGTGAATAAAAAAAAACCCAGATCCGCCTACGGCCTGCGTTGCCCACTCATGATGGACTTCTGCGCTCTTATGTCCTCTGAAACCAGCAACCACCAATTCCTCCGCTCGAATATCCTCAGCGGTTCGTGCTTTGTTTGAGTCGCTGCAGATTGTGAACGGGACAGAAAGCCACGCGTTGTTTTGTTAGCACCTCATTTTGAAAACGACTCGACTGACGTTCAACTTTCCACACCCTGTTTAATACAATGAAATATCCACATAATCTTTGGCTTAATGCGATGATGTAATATCGTACTTAATTAATTCCACGGGGGCGGTGGGGGGGGGCACACACACACACACACACACACACACACACACACACACACACACACACACAACTTTACCTCCTGGCAGTACTGCAGGATGCCCTCCTTGGTACCAATGCAGCTCTTGGTGCCCGAGGGGTCCGGCTCCCACTTGCCGCTCTGCACGTTGATGTGCATGTTGAGTTTGCTGCAAAACATGGCCACTTGGGGCTCCGCCAACAGCCCCATGGAAACATCTGTAGGCACCTAGGGGTGGGGACAGGCGAGGGAGAGATTTAATGAGACGTGGCGCTCATTCTTGAGCACTTGCGCTGAAAAAAATGCAAGACGGATGCAATTAAATTTCATTACTCAGAGTGGGTTGAAGGAGGAGGGTTGGGGGGGGGTGGAGGAGATTAGGGTGTTGGATGAAACAGAAGATGAGGAAAGCTGGTTTAAGATGAGATGAGGAGCAGGGAGAGATAGAGGAGGGGGGGGGGAGAAGAGGAAAGGCAAAGACCAAATTCCCCTCCCCCTGATTCTTTTCACATTGTTAGTTTCATTTCTGTGCTGCTATAATTAAACTCTTAACAGTACGAGCATCGATCGCCTCTTTTTGGGCGTCGTCACGCGTGCAAAAGGGCTCACTGAAAATTGCCGGGAGAACAGAAGAAAAAGAAAAAGCCCCCCCCCCCCCAAAAAAATCAATAGCTTTGGGGGAATAAATTGCCTGAAACAACACACCCGGAGCGATGCAATACGCCCGCTCTGTTGTCTATGATTCCACGGCCAGGCACACAAAGCCCGTCCACCTCCCCGTGCAACACCATTTATGGAAATCAGAGTCCATCCCTTTTTTCACAGACCTGCACAGCGTTTATAGAACCCGCGGTTGATTCATTTCAGGTTTCTTTCTCTCCGCCGGTGCAGCAACACAGAGGGCAAGTTGGCTGGAGGCAGAGGAAGCCGCCGTTGGAACAAATCTATTACATTTTGTGTTAATATCTGTATTGGTTTGTGCATCCACGCGTGCGTGCGTGCGTGCGTGCGTGCGTGCGTGCGCCACTGCTGTGGAGGTTTTGTTTTTCCGTAGGAGAGGAGGTGCACACAAACCACTGAATGTCTGCATTGTACTGGCAAATGAGCTAGAACAAAACGAGAGGGAATACAGGAGGTGGGAGGGGCGGATCGAGAGGTAGAGAGGGAGGGAGGGAGGGAGGGTGTAGAGGGCCCGTCGCCATTGTGCACGCTCTAATCTTGTTAATGGTTTTGAAGGCCCTGGCAGGCAAACAAATGTTTTGTGAGACAGATAGCATATTTTCTCCTCCAGACTTGATTCTCTCCCAGCAGCCGGGGGCACAACGTCCTCCTCCAATACGAGAGCAGCGATGGGGAGGGAGGGATTTCTATCAAAGCTGAAAACTCAAACGTTTGGATCAATTTAGCAGGTCTGTGTCCGTCGTAGCGGGGGAAGATTAACTACCAGCTTTCATTATGTTACATCTAAAGATATTGACAGAATTGATACACTTGGCAGAAGAAGACGGGCCATCGTACATGTTAAGTGCACTTCATATTCTGTACAGCCTCAGTAAGGGGAACCGTAATGGTCAATGGGGGGGGGGGGGTAGCGAAACCTGCAAAATATCAATTATATTCATAGAGAGACTCTTGCCCTGTCACTCAAGTTGACAAATGTTCTACTTTTAAAGACGTTGCCACAAAATAATTCTGAAAATGTGTGACTTAACACGGACAGTAGCTCCATAGACCACGTCCATCAATCTGCATCTAAGAGCCAATGATTCACATGTTCTCAGGAGAATTTATATTAATATAATAAGTATTTATCCACTTCCACTAAACTAAAATGAAAGTGGTCATGTAGAAACGTAAAGTTATCTGAAGCAGATTATTTAAGGCAGTTGTATTTGTACAAGTGGAAGTTATAAAGCTCACAGATCACAAGTCCGCGGGTCATAAATGGCACCTGCAGAGTTCAAAGGGCAAAACGCCGCGGCAACAAGGAAATTGCTAAATCCCTCCTCAGCCCCAACACATGGCAACTTAACACCGGTGGCAATCAGTGTTGACACGGGGCCATCTGCCCCGCGGCGGGTTATTTAGGGGTTTTGCAGCTCGATTCCCACACTGCCATGTGTGTGTGTGTGTGTGTGAGAGAGAGAGAGAGAGGAGCCGATCAAATCCCGTCCTGCTCAAGAAACAGTTAAACCCAAGCGGCAAAGTGGGAGCAGAAAAGTTTTTAAATAATCTTTTAATTAATTCACTTTCCCGATTTCATTGCGACCATATCTCCCCCCCCTGCCGCTCAATGAAAGAGATAAACCAACTTCCTCTTTGCTTGAGGCAAAGGTGGTTCAAGCTGAGCCAGCGGCTCGCTGACATTCAAATTCTTTGTGTCATCCTCTTTGGTTGGCAAATCCAATCCTTTCCAATCGCTCCCTCTTTTCCTTCCTGCCTCTCAGCCTCTCCAATGCTATCTCTCCACCGCTCGGTCTTCATCTGCAGGAGACTGAGGAGGAGGAGGAGGAGTGTCAGCCAAGCCTTCGCTGCAAGCTTATAAATCAGAGTCCCAGGCTGATGGAGGAGGCAGGAGGTGGAGGAGAAAGTGAGGGGAAGAACAATAACCACGATGGCGAGAACAGGGAAAGACTGGAGAACTAATGCTTTAGACAATAAGCCTTCGGGCCTCGAGCAGAGGGTCAAGCGGAAAAGATGTGGGGAGGTCGAGGTCCAGGGAGAGAGAGCGAGGCCGATGCAAAGTCCCGGCTCTAAATGGGAAACTATTGGTGGATCTGCGGTCACAAAAAAAAAAAAAAAAAGGAGAGACATCACTGGTCTGATAACTGCGTCAAACGGGAGGAAAGACAACAGCGACCAGAGGAAGCTGCAATCTACCGACAGATGGACTAAAAAAGAAAAGCAGAGTGACAAATGGTGAGGTGAGGCAATATATACACATCGTTGAGCGGAGACACACCGGGCGTCCCTTCTCTGTCTCCCCCCGTCTCCCCCCCTAGCTCCGCCAGGGTTCACATTACCGCCGGTCGACCAGCCGCTCATCCTGCAGGGAGGGGAGGCAGCGCTAATCTGGGCGTTGAAGATTAGGACGGCAGCCCGCTCGGGAAAAATATCCCTTTGGTCCCAATCTGGCATGATAGCCATCGGCGGAGCGAAAATCGGGGGAGTGGAGGGTGATGCTGCACCAGATTGAGCCCAGAGTCAATTAAAGTCAGCAGAAAGCGCCCGAGTCGCCCATCGCTGCTTCTCCCCCAGCACAGATCACAAGCAAATAAAACACTGATCCATCAAAAAACGGCTAGGATGAAAAAACAAAGATTGCATTTGAGAACCAGGCCGCTGGGCCTGGCGAGACACACGGGACGACAAAATGTCCACGTTGTTTCAAGCTCGGCGCGCTACGGTGCTTTTTAATCCGCACAAAGCGTTCAATGTCCTCAGTGAGGTTGAAATGGAATTAGTTTAACCCAGAGGGAGGCTCGTGAGGGAAAACAGATACTAAAAAAAAAAAAACATAAACCAACAATCTAATTATGTAATGCAACGACACACAAGTCGGTAGTGAAGCGCTGCAATTTGATGGGAGTGCGATTTTTGTTACACCGCGATTCAAATCACAGGTCCACAGCTGGAAACCTTGATCCAGATTAAATCCAGAAAAAACGCCCAAAACACGCAAACGTGCTCCGTTTTGTTAGGAGATCCATCTACGGGCCTAATTAAGTGGTTTGGATAAGTTTGGGAAACAGACAGCAGGAAATGTGAGCAAAGTCAGTAACTCATGTTTTGGGCAAAAAGTGCTGACTAAATATGAATCTATTGGTAAACAATCAATTCCAACATGCACAACATTTTTGTATCTAACGGAATCAACCCAGAACTGTGTCCATTTCTAAAGAAGAACGTGTTAACGTGGTGGTCTAGCAGCGGACACCACCAAAAAAAGACATTTATAGAACCCCAATAAAATATGACAGCAGATATTTAAAGCATTATTAAAAACCTCAACAGAATCCTCCCTCCTCGTCTCTTGTATAAGCGTATAAACTCAAATCTATGGCAATAGACTACGGCAAATATAAGAATAATAAATGAACCCCTTACAAGCGTGTCCCCCAATTGACTTTGGGAGAAAACACAAATTAGCTACCAACTCAAAATATTAGTGCAGAAAAAAAAGAGAAAAACCCCTTAGCCTGAATCTCAGCCCCTCACCTCGAGAACATGCTCATCGATCAATGTGTGTGAGACGTACGGACTCTTCTTCCCCCTTTTGTGTAAATTATGTCTCAAAGCCACCGTGTGGGGGGACGGTAAAAGGTGCTGATGTGCATGAATGAGCGCGCCTACGGCCGTGATCGCCGGCACTAAAGAGCCAAAAGATGAAAAAAGGGAGGGAGCATGTTTATTACCCATTAAATGTAAATGTGGGGCTTGTCAGCAAGAGAAATATTGCATCACGCGCTCGCAAACGGCAAATAAATCCATTACACACACACACACACACACACACACACACACACACACACACACACACACACACACACACACACACACACACACACACACACACACACACACACACACACACACACACACACACAGTTTGAAGTGTCCCCGATGGGCGGTGGTCCTGCAGTGCTATTAATTGTACGGTCTTATCTCAGAGGTCCAGGCCGCCCCCGGGGGGGGGGTCTTAAATCATCTCTCAGCCCACAAGGGGAGAGGGGGGGCGCGGCCCAGAGCGCGAGACGTGTTGCAGGAACCTGTCTGAGCCTCTCTCCCTCCCTCCCCCCTCGCTCTCCTTCCTCCTAAAACACAATGCAAATAAGGCGGTTACTGCGTTGTCACCGGCAGCCTTTTACGAGGCGGGACAACGCGTGGCGGCAAACTCGCCCCCGGCTCTGGGTCGCTAATCAATCAATCGCGGTGGAATCGAGCACGGGGCCGCTAGCCGCCTGCGGGGTGTTTACACGACGCGGCGCAGTGGGGATTTGTTTGCTGAGCTTGGGAGGATGTGTGACGGCTGAGTGGGACGGGACTGGCGTTGTGACAGACGTGCTTTGACTGGACTTAAAGTGAGCCTGCAACACTATCCCAACGGGGTGTGTGTGTGTGTGTGTGTGTGTAAAGAGGCCTGTGCCTGATGTTTCGGAAGCAGATTTAGAGGGAAGAGTTTTTCCACTGATTAGAGGGCAGCCAGACCCTCCCCCTCTCCCTTCCCA